GTGCAGGAGAAGGAACGGGGTGGTTTTTCCCCCTTTAAAAAAAAAAAACCCCTTCGGGATAAAAGGCGTGATGTTATGTTATGTTATGTTATGCCACTATAAAATGTAACACCCACTATTCACTATTTATGTTATGAGTCCCATGTAATAGGGGGTGAGCCTATTGCCGTATACCGGGCACAGTTCCAGACTTCGTGTTACTACTGAGAATTTGGTTTAAGCCTCAATAATACTTTGTCCCCCCCGAGAATCGAACCCGAGATCTCTTGCCCGATAGTCGCACTTGCGACCACTCAGCCAGCGAGGCAGTCATTTAGTTTTCTGCATTAATATTTTCGTAATTACATGAATGGTTCTTACCATTCATAGCGGACAAATCACATTAATATTATAAATGCGAAAGTTTCTTTGTTTGAATATTTGTCCGTCTATCACGCTGAAACTACTGAACGGATTTAAGAAAATTGGTATACATACAGGCCCCTATGGCTAACTTAGGTGATAGGATATTTTTTTATCCCGATTAATGTTTCCTTAGTATAAAACAGGATTACGCAGCCAAAGCCATGGGGAAAAGGTATAGTAGTATAAGTATATAATAATATTAATTTTATTTACTCCATTATGTGCAAGTAGGCAATAGGTATATATTATACTAGGTAGCTTTGTTTTATAAACCAACATTTTAAAAAACAAACTTAATTCGTTTATCGCAGTAATCGGTAAAGAGATGTGGGCTTTGTTTTAAGTAAAATAAATAGAAAATAAACTGTTACATAATATGTGGCGTGTGTGTGTGTGTGTACGTGTGTTACTAAATTCATGTAATTATGTTCCTACATGTATTAACATTGTGACGTTATATAGGTTCGTTTGTCATTTCTTGTTAATTGGTACATTTTTTAAATTATGCTTTTATGTCATTGCATGCATTCAAGAGCTGTTTCATGTAAGAAATATGTGTTATTACTACAACATAACCAAATAAGTATATTTTTTCCATCTTAGTAAAATTTGCTTGCAAACACGAAGATATTCTCCTGTGTCGTGGGTGCGTCCACAAACATACAAGTTCACATACACAAGACACCCAGACCCGAAACAACAATTTGACAACACAAAGAGTTGCTACGTGTGGGAATCGAAACCGCTGCACGTTGCGCGGCAGCCGGTTGCCCAGCCACCGCGCCTTTCTAAAGAGCACTCTATAAATCTTTACCTGATGCTCGTTGAAGCAAAGAACAATTCAATCATAATTATCATATCTTCAATTTATTAAGGGGCTTTGTAATTTATTTTTTAAGCTCCAAGTATTACAGAAGAGTCGGAGGAATACAAACAATACAATCTTATGCAATGCTTACACAAGTGAGTTCAGTCCTGACACGTATCAGGTATCTTACTAGTACGATACGTTCTAGTAGCGTTGACATGTAGAAGCGCATTCCTTAATTCAATACAAATGTTGAGACGAAATGTTCGATGCAATACAAAACATTTCATGTCGATTTCATTACTGATACCAATTAAATAAAATTGTGTTCTGAAACTGTTGTACTGTTTTTTATTCCTTAATGCGCTTTTTATTTTTTGAGTGGGAAAAATCATCTAATTGTTTCTCCCGCCCGGGTGAGACGAGAGGGAGTGTCAGACACTTACTAACTAATAACTACCCAGTTCCTACTCTTGCACTTGGACCCGAAACCCTGGCAACCCGTAAAGTCCTCTCTCTGTATCGGCATCAGCCCTATTGGGCCCCATCTGTGGCGGTCTCATGGCTCTTTGAGGCGTGCGCGGAACGCGACGCGCCTTACGCTCAGGTCTGGTTCTGGTCGGGCGGCGAGTCACCCGTATTCGCCGTCCGTGCTTATCTCAGGAATAACTCGTTCAATTTGAAATATTATTTTGTGTTGGATAATCCATTTATCGAGGAATGTTTTAGGTTAAGATAAAACATCATGCTTCCACCAATAGGGACACAGCAGGTATTAGTAGATATACTATATGCAGTTTACATATTATATTTCTATTTCTCCTTCTCCGTTAAGGAATATCAATCATAATATATCATCACTAGGGAACAGACATAAGGACCAATACAAGGAAGAAGAAAAAAAATCAATGCATTCGTTTCCAATTCTACAAATGAACAATCCGATGGCTCGAACAAAAGATCTGATGATTAAGTCTTCATTTGTATGCACAATGCTTTGATTGAAACCTCTTTGTTTGGTTCCATTATCTTTCAAGCATTCTCATACAGATCTTGATCAAGGGAATTGTCTAGTGTAATCAGTTATGAACAGTGAAACACTGATTCATGTAAAGTAGTATAGTGAAAGCCTTTTTTACCAATGTCTCTTTAAATTTTAAGGAGCCTCTATTTTAAGATAGGTGGCGCTTAGTGACAGGTTGGTGTTTACTAATGGATAAAACTGACCAAATGAACTGAAGGTGTGACAAGGTAACAGGTGAGTTTATGTGCTCTCTTATACTACGTATATCTTAGCTGAAAGATTGTTTAGGGGTGGCTTTTTTTTTGAGGGGGGAAAATCATCCAATGACTTCTCCCGCCCGGGTGAGGCGGGAGGGAGTGTCAGACTCTTACTGACTAAAAACCACCCCGTTCCTACTCCTGCACTTCGAGCCGGAGCCCCAGCAACCCGTTAAGTCTTCTGCGGCTCTGTTTAGGAGTGGCTGGTGATAACAGACCCTTTTGATGCATTGTGTTAGGTAAAACGCTAGTTCCTAGATTCTAAAATTATTTTTTCTGGAACACCATTTTTAGTGTATTACAAACTAAAATATGAAGTTTATTTTAGCTGCAGAATGCTATTTTTACCTTGTGCTAAAGGTGTAAAGCTGAATTTAGAAGTTGTAGATTAATAAGGCCCATTAAACATACCGTGTACGCCGTTGATTTTACTGTACATTGTGTTTTTTGGAGCAAAAAGAAAAACGTATAAGAATATCATAACAATAATGATACCGAGGAATAAAATAACAAATTTACCGCTGGTATGGCTCCTATTCCCAATACATGTACAGACGGTCATACCAATTACGAGAAGTAAGCGCCTACCAAAAGAGTGAGTCTAAAACGTGACAAGGTTTCGAAAAAACCGCAATAACCTCCAAAGGATTACAAATGTGAAAGAAATATTGAAACTGCCGATATTTTCAACCTTGTTGCTACGTGACAAGGATCGGAATGATGGTTAAATCTGTCAAGGTGTCATAGAAAAGGATTTTGGTGAAATCAAGTGTTTTATGACTGTGTACTGGTAGTGGTACAGGAAAAGAAAGGTTTAGTCAAAGTGTTAGGGCCGATTTTTCCAAAGCCAGGTAAATTTTAACTAAGGATTTTTTTTTAAGTGGGTAAAATCATCGAATAACTGCTCCTGCCTGGGTGAGGCGGAAGGGAATGTCAGACTCTTACTGACTAAAAACCACCCCGTTCCTTCTCCTGCACGTCGAGCCGGAGCCCCGGTTAGGTTCTCCGCGACTTGACTGAGGAATAAATTTTAATATTTGACAATTCTTCCATACTAAAAACTGTCAAATGTCACTTTTAATCTACAGTTAAGAATTAACTGATGATTGAAATATCAGCCTTTAATTGATTTAGTCTGGGTTTGTAAATGAGTTACGTTTCCTATCTACCTAAACACACTATTTTTCTTTCTAAAATAGTACCAGCGACCACTACCTAGTAACATTTTCGAAAAAAAAACAGGTTTTCATTTAGCAACGCTTCAAATTTTTTCACCTGAATCTGGGCAATTTGATAGTGACGTGGATTGAATACTCGTTTTTTGGAAAACAAAACCTATTTTGTAGGCTTTCATAGCCGAAGTGTAAGCCGTGGTTGTGTACAGTATTTTATTAAACTTTCGCTTGTGTTTTGTTTGGAAAATGGCTGATGAAACTCTTCACAATTTGGTTGTTTTTTGTGTCGTATATGGTGATCGTAGGGTATTTATTTTTATTATCGTGAGACAGTTTAAATTAGTTAATTTAGATTAACTCACGTATCTAATTCTTCGGCGAGGTTTCTCGACTTTAAGCCTGTAAGGAATTTTTATTTCCTTTTTAATCGACTTCCCAAAAAGGAGGAGTCGATGCCACAAGCCCATATAACTTCGGTTGATGGTCATGGTTATAATCTGTCATAACATTGTACAAAGTTTAGGTAATATAAGGTATTTGTTACGGGTTTAAAGAATAACTTTTGTTTAAAACTTGTGGCACTGTCTTCTCACCTATCAATGGGTGGGTAACCAATAAGTACGTATGACTAGTCATAGTTATTTTTTGCTTTATAGTTTTGACCTTTTGCTTGTTTGTAGGTTTTGGTTTTCGAAGTCGGTTTTTTTAAACGCAGTTTTTGTTTTTTAATTTTAGGGACTTTTATACCGCACAGCGTATGTCAGTCCCTATCGTAGCCTCATATAAATCAACTAAAAATCAATGAATCTGAGTCATAAAGTTGAACGCTAGGGTTCATACTGATAATATGCATGACATTATTGCCATTTTTATAATTTTATTGAAATAATTAAAAAGTCTGACGACTACCTCGTTGGCCGAGTGGTCGCAATTGCGACTGCCGGGTAAGGGGTCTCGGGTTCGATTCCCGGGTCGGGCAAAGTATTACTGGGTTTTTAAAATAATTCTCAGTAGTAGCACGGAGTCTGGAAGTGGGCCCGGTATATGGCAATAGGCTCACCCCCTATTACATGGGACTCATAACATAAATAGTGAAAAGTGGGTGTTACATTGTACAGTGGTATAATGTGCACCTCTGCCTACCCCTTCGAGGATAAAAGGCGTGATGTTATGTTATGTAATTAAAAAGTAAAATATAAAGGAGAAATATAATATTCCAATCTTTTTAAATGATTTTATTATTTTAAAATTCTACTATTACAAATAACAAATTTGGTTACTACATGCATATATTGAACTACGTAAAGACGATGTGTCCTAATAATAATTAACTACTTATCATATTGTATTAAAACTAATTCGTACTTCAATATTGCAGCTGCCACCTGAAATCAAAAAGAGATGAATTAAAATGACGGTAATCATGGTTTGAGTCTGTTTTATAAAGTCAAATTAAGTTTTTTGATAATAGTCTTACGCATTTTTCAGTAGACTAACAGAAAATTAATGAAACATTGTACAAAATTACCCTCCCCTTCCCCAATCTCCCCAATCCCTGAATCCCCAACGATCCTCAAACACTCCTAATCCCCAAAAAGCCAGTAACGCACTTGTAACGCCTCTGGTGTTTCAGGTGTCCATAGGCGACGCCGATTGCTTACCATCAGGTGATCCGTCTGCTCGATTACCGGCTTATGCCATAAAAAAATCAGTCCTAAAGCTGTTTTTCCAACAATAGGGGACTTACTTCAAGCAGCAGTTCTCTCCGTAGCGAGAAAAATCCCATTCCAGTTAGTGCCACAAAGTCATGTGCTAGCTGATATTGTAGTCTTTTCATCTGGAACGTAAAAGTATTAAAGCATTGTTGTAGAGATATTGTGCACACTAGATAATAGTTATAAAAGCCTAGGTATAAAATCTTGTTGGCTCAGACTGGCTCGGAGGTTAATTTGCCTGCGTCTGAAATCTGAATGTATCAGAAACCTTTGGAAGTATTGTACATTCATTGTACAAATTGGTATGTCCTTTATAAGTTTTTTTAGATAAAAATCCTGAAGATAATAGTGTTATACGTGGATTAATTGAAATAAATGCTTTGGATTTAACACTAGAAAGACGGAAAAAGTCATCTACCTACAAAGACGGCGAGCGGTCAAATGACTGCTCCAAGTTTTTTGATATTTTTTTATGTTTAAGTGCTAGAAATGGTACCTATAGTATTAAACATGATATAATATACTGTTAATTAAATAATATGTATAGAATTTCTAATTTTATCATTTTGTTTACATTACAAAAGCCGCAAAGTGGCTTTTTGCAATTGTCGCATTCTTTATGGTTTTTGCATTTGCATTTGTGTATATAATATTTTGGAATTTACTGGATTTTGTGCAGAAGATAGTGAAGTAAAAGATCTGGATTCTTCATGGAAGGATTCAGTTTCAGAGAGTCTTCTTCAATTTATACTTTGCTTCTAAGTTCGCCCCCTGAACTTAGTATAAATAGCCTTTGTTTCATGTAATATTCTACACTTTCCTATACCAAATGAAGGAATTATATCTAAAAAGGAAAATTATCTAAATTATGTTATATCTTTGCTAGGTCTCAAATATGAAACAAAAAATGTATTTCACCTTTGAGATGCTCGTAACATTTTGTACCAGTATTTGCAAAAAGTTTCACAAGACGCATCTGTATCAACGGATTCATCGACATTTGACCACTTAGAGTAGATGCCATTTGAGGTGTGTACAAGATACAGTCGATAGTTGTGAAAAGACCTAGATGCTCAGGATCTTCCAAACTCCTTTCACAGCCTTTATCACTACCACAGCAACGATTACAACCACGAGAACCCGACTTGTCAACGTCTGATAATTTTCTCGAAGTATCTGGTCTTTCAGGTCACTTCCGTCCGTAGAGGAATTCGAACTGACAAGTAGTATATACGTAATCGTCGTCCACAACGTAATCCACATAATCGTCGTCGCTATCATGTTTTGTATTTTTAGAACAAATTATCAGACTCATCTTCACAAATATTTTGGAAGTAACAAACATTTTTTCATTTTCAAGACTCCAACACGTTGCGACCACAAACTACTTTCAATAATTTCGTAAAAGTTCACAGACACTTGAAATGATACGGTCTCATTTGATAAACAAACTATAAACAATGAATAAGTGTATATAATTTGTATTCTACCCTCTCATATTACACTTATAAACACTCATTGGTTGTCAGCAGTCAAATGACTGCCGCCGTCTTTGTCGGTAGATCAAGATTTTAAATAATAAATAAAAGAGTTGTGATTTATTTTCATACATAGTTGCATTTAACTAGTAAAATAAATAAAAGTCACAAAGGCTCAGTTTAAAAACTCAAATAGATTTCAAGTTATTCAACATTTAAATTCAAATTGCGGTCAAATGACTGCTCCCGTCTTTCTAGTGTTAAGATCGAATCAGGGTTTTCATCGAATATTAGTTTCAAGAACTACAACTGTATACCACGTCAGTCTTAGTGAGTTCGGTAAATGTAACATAGTCCTTAGTAATCCATCATCAAAGATAGCTAAAAAAGTGTATAGAATAGTTATCTTAGCTACTAAGCGTAGATTATAAGTTAGTAAATCTATCCTCATGAGGATGACATTGTCAATTTTGATAAAACCCTTCATTTATTTATTTATTTATTTATTTATTTATTACACACACAAGTTAACATTACAGGTTTAGGACCCAATGCGATAACAAGGTATTATTAAATCTAGCGACTACTTACACCATATTAAACTTATACTAACGAATAAAGTAATCCAAACAATTACAGAGAAAAACAAACCTTGTATTAAATTTAATAAAATAAAGACCAAATAAATAGTATTATTATTATTATTGTCTATCTATAGCATAAATTATATAACAGAATCTTTGTGAATTCACTCGGCTGACAGGTAAAAACATCTATTTGCTCGTGCACAAGATTTATATTACGGATAGCTTGCGTAACCGCGGCTTTCGCCAGTAAGTTCGTCCTAGCCACCGGCACCGCCAACAGAGGCGGGCGCCGCCGCCTCCTTACATAGTTGTCAGGTACCCACAAACTGATTCTTTGAAGAACATCTGGGTTATGTTCCATTCCCCGAATCAATTTCACCAAATAGGTGGTAAGAGTAAACTCTCGACGCACCTTCAATTGATTGTACCCGACCATACCCAGCACAAATAACGAGGGATACATCAACGGATACAACGGGTACACTCCATACAGCTTCCAATACAGGTGACGAGTGAATTTGTTCTGAACTCGTTCTAACATCAGAGAGTACTTATTTTCATGAGGCGCCCATATCATTGCGCTGTGCTCCAAATGACTTCTCACTAATGCGTCATAAAGGGCCCGAACTGCAGAGATATTAGTGAAATCTCGCGTTTGTCTCAATAAAAATCCTAGATTTCTATACGCCTTCTTACAAATTTTCATTATGTGCTCACGGAACAACAACTCGGGGGTCATGTAAACTCCCAAATCACGCACCTGTGTGACTCGTTGCAGTGGTGTATTTTCAAGCCTGTATTCATGTAGCAGAGGTGATCGCGCGCGAGTAAAACTTATCGTAGAACATTTTGACTCGTTAAAATACAGCTTGTTTTCATGACTCCATTGGACTATCCTATCAATGTCATCCTGTAAGCACTTGCAGTCTGTTTCCTTCGTAATTTCTAGGAGCAACTTTAAGTCATCTGCAAATAATAAACAAGAGCTATGTTTGACGACTTGTGGTAAATCATTTATCATAATTAAAAATTCGAGAGGCCCCAAATTACTGCCCTGGCTTACTCCCGATCTCGTGTAATAGGGATCCGATTCCCAACCATTGTAGTCGACAAACTGCTGCCTATCCTTCATGTAACTGGCAAAAAACCGAACTAACTGTGGCTTGCACCCAATCTCAACTAGCTTCCTTAATAAGATGTCATTATCGACGGTGTCAAATGCTTTTCTAAAATCAAAATAAGCGGCGTCAACCTGCACCCCAGCATCTACCGCTGGCACCAACCTTGTCATAAAGCTAAGGAGATTTGTTGCCGTGCTACGACCCGGTCTAAATCCGTGTTGTGAGTCCGAGATCTGTCCATGTATCTGTGCCTGTAAGCTACGCTGCACAGCTGACTCAAACACCTTAGCCGGGGATGACAACACTGCCACTGGTCTATACCCCTCAATGCTAGAACCTGCCTTACCTTTAGGTACTGGAATGACTCTGGTAATTTTCCAACGTGTCGGAAAAGTAGCTAAACTCAGGCATGTATTAAATATATACCGCAATGGTTCTGCTAGTACTCTGCTACAGTCTTTAACAAGAAAAGCTGGTATACCATCCGGACCCGCTGATCGCTTGGCTTTTAAACATTTAAGGGCATTGCGTACGTCCTTGACAGTAAGCCGCTCCACCTCCACATCTGTATTGTTCCCTTTCTCCGCCGCTGCTGACGCTGAAGCCTCTTGTGGATCCAGTCGTGGCGGATCAGTACTATATACAGATTCAAAAAAGGCAGCAAACTGCTGAGCGCATTCGCTATCCGATAGATATTTACCATCTTTAACAATGGGTCGATTGCACCTCGCTGCGATCTTATAAACTGCCAAAACGACTTTGGGTCTTTAGCAAACTGACATTGAAGTTTACTTTTGTGTTGTAAGTAAGCAGTGTTTATTAATTTCTTAATATGCGATCTGAATTTAGAATAACTTGTATAATCTTTGTTACTATTGTTTTGTTTAAACCTTTTGTGAAGTGCTGCTTTTGTTTTTAACCCACTAATTATTTCGGTCGTATACCACACGGGATAAACATATTTTGATTTACTGCAATGTTTTTTTAGAGGGACACTTTCATCCAATACACTATAAATTTTATCATAAAAAATCTAAAATATCTTCTAAATCCGTCATATCATACATATCGCTCCAGTCCGTTGAGCCCAACATTGAATATAACAATTCATAATCTGCTTTATAAAAGTTGTATTGTGACCCTTTGCTCCGTGTGTTTGAATAAGGCGCGCTATCGTTAGCGCCACCAGTGGCACACGGATCGGCGGCGGCGGCGCCCCCAACCGCGGACAACACCCCGTCGTCGCACGATAACCGCGGCGATAGCGGCGCGCGGCCGCCTATCTCAATGCCGACGGCCAGTGGCGGGTGGTACTCGTCCACCGGCAGTATGCCCTCGTCCGCCGCAGACACCGACACTGACACGAATGCCCTTGCGCTCAGTACGAGGTCTAACTGTCTGTTGTTGCAGTTTGGAACCGTATTAAACTGAGTGAATTCACAAAATGACATAAAATATTCAAAATAGTTAACAATTCCATTATTACACGAATGTAGATTAAAGTCTCCTAATAATATAAAATTATTTTTGTACTTAACACACCATTTTTCTAAAATATTAAACATCAACATATACTCATTTTCATCTGTTAATGGTGGAATGTAAACAACACAACACGCAAATAAGAAACGGTTATTCACATAAATAGCAGTACAAACTAGTTCAAACTTACATTTATTGATGTCAACATCACCTGGCACAAACACTTGTCGCAGCTGGAACCTAGGTCCAGCCACCACCATTACACCTCCCTGCTTCCGGCCGTCCGCCCTGTCGCATCTCACTACCTGGTAACCAGGAAGTAAGAATTCGGCGTCTTGAATTGATTCGTTTAATCCAGATTCCGTAATAGCGAATAAATCCGACTCCGACGACCCCAGCAACGACAACAACTGTGTCGTCTTAGTGCGTAGCCCTCTGACGTTTTGGTACAGTAGGTTGACATGTCTACGCGGTTTGTAGTTTGTCTGGTTTGAGTGAGGGGCGAAACCAGATCCACTCACTGAATTCTACATTTAGTGGCCAAATATCTGGGTCACAAAGTTTTCCAAAATTACTAACTGTTACCCCCACTTTGAATGAGGCATAGTCACGATCCGTTCTAGGTTTAAGTTTTTCGACAATAACTTCTGAGTCATCGCCCAGTGTCAGTTTGATATGCTCCCTTAACTGATCTTCCGTTGTGGTTTTTTCCAGTCTCCACACATGTAAAAATTTTCTACGTTCTACCGCCTTTAAAGTAGCGATTGAGTTATTGCCACCTCTTCTTACAGGTTTCCTTTTGTTTTTAACTTCAATCCACTCATTATCAATGATGCAATTTACTTTTGGTGACGCTTCCTTCGAGCCACTCCGCGTAACTGGTCACCGCAGGACTCGGCACCGGCAGCGCAGCCGCCTGGACATTGTTATTGTTCATGCTTGGCAATTCTGGCGTGTTACCATCATATTTTGGAGGTGTGTGCGTTGGTACACTTGAAGACATTGTAGTACAAGTATCGATGTAACGTTTTACATTATTTTCTTTAGATAATAAACTCTCAGATCTCATACGTTTAATTTGCTGTTCATAAGCATTACATTTCTTATTCGCATCATTCAATTCCTGTCTGAGCTTACTATTTTCGACGGCCAGGACAGCTACTGTATTTTTAATTTCCTCTAGAATATTCAGTTCGAAAGCATTAAGTTTTGCCATGATTATGTTGCTTACTTTATCTACTAACTCATCCGATGCCGCGGATGCCTGTAACGTGGTCTGTACTCCATCCTCGGAGGACTGGTTCTGCTCCATGATATCTGATACCAAACCGACAGCGGCACTGACTCCGCGCACCGGTGTATCATCGGTAACTCGAATACGCTGGGTTACATTAGCGCACGATTGACATTTAAAAGCCCGCTTTAATTGTACTTGGGCTTCCCTAAATGCGGCCGTGGTAATATTGACACATTTATAGTGATAACAGGATTTACACCCAATACATTTAATCAAATCCCCTGCATCAATTTTTCGATTACAGGCTGCACAATTCATTGTAAATTCCAAGAATTCGACGACAGCACAGTGCGAGCGAGACACAGTTAGCTCACTCGCCCGAGAGTGAAAGAGCGCGCTGCGACAGTTTCGCGCCACCCGCGCTTTGTTATTGTCACTAACTTCAAGGAACACAACACAAAATGTTTGGTTGGAAAAAGCGTCAAAAACACTCACTATCACTAATTTTATAATTGTTCTCCATAGTCTATGTTTACATTAACACAAAACATTAACTTTAACACAGTTTTTAGCATCCCACTCCGGATTATCGAATTAATATCAATAATATTCATACGAGTGACTCGCACTCCGCGCCGCGCCGGTAGTTAGAATTTCATATTTAAAATAAAGAGAAAAAAAACTGTACACCAATCGCAAGAGCACTAAGGCAGACAAGCATTACTGTTGTGTCTTTTTTACTCAATAAGTAATCTTATTTACTCTAAACAATAAGTTCTAGAATCCTTTGAAAGTTCTCTACTTCACATTTACTGTTTTCTAGTTTTAGTTTTATTATACATACTTCGATATTATAATTAGCACTGGGGCATGAGTGCAGCAATTTCAAAGCTCTTTGCGAGTGCAGATGTACGTCGGACGCAGCAATCACTACGCTGCATGCTCTTAGTATTAGCCAGCTTAGTGAGAAGAGGAAATAACAACGACTTATTGTGCTTGAACTCGGTTTGCTGAAATAAAATGAGTAAATATTAAGATGGAATTATGTGTATATCAAAATATGTTTGTAGTTTATCCTGAAAAAGAATTATAATGTTAGTGTAAACTTATTACTATTTTTACCTCTGAGCGCTTAAGATCGAAATTTTTTAATTAATTTAAGATTATAGTAGCAAATAGTAACTACAGGCAAAAGTTATTCTTGTGTCGAGCTTGTCGTACTTTTAACGACACCAGTAGCAGGCATGATGTAGAAATCTTTTGTATAAGCCTGAGGAAAGCTAGAACTATGATAAGTGAAGACTTTTTTAATAGCTGTTTTTTGTTTTTTTTTTATTTTAAATATATATTCACCTTTTTTTTCTTTCTTTAAATAATATCCTTGCTGTGTGCCTACTGTTTTTGATACATTTATAATTTTAATTTTGTCTTAGCTGTTAACTATTTAGTCAGTATTCGTGTGCATCTGTAAGTGTTAAATGTACTGTAAGTCTCAATGCTACTATTTTTCTGCTAAATCTGTGTAATGTTAAAGCTGTTGATCACCTATTACTAAATAAATAAATAATAGTCATCTAGCTTTTTTTTCTACAAATTCTTTTACATTCCCCGTTGGTAAATAAGGAACAACCCTATAGCCACTTCAACAACAACGCTCCGATTAGAGTCAAAGATAACCTTTTCTACTTTGCATATATTTTAGTAGCAAATGAGGAAAAAGGGTCCCCATTTTAAGCACGTGCCACATTCAGACATTGTAAAAAAACAGCTTTCCCAAGAACTGAACAAGTGGCCCTCAAGCCATTGTGCATGGAGAGAACTTAAGGATCTTAAAAGCCAAAACCACCTCTTCAATCTTCTTGCAAATCAAAAAAACTCAAGGTCTGCGATACTCGGACAAAAGGACCGAGTCTTTAAGAGTGGTCCTTTTCCTAAAGTGAAGGACACAAACCTCTTTGTGGACCTGAGTCGACGGCGTACACTTAATTTAGCTCTCTCGACTTTCAAAACTGAGTATAATTTACTTTGTTTTGTTTAGAGAAAGCCCTTTAGTGTCAACCCTAATTAAGATAACTTAATTCAGAATTAATGCTAGAAATTTTGAACTCAATATATGTTTATCAGTTACTGGGTGATTGGGATAGGCTGGAGATGCGTTTGTTCGATAATTTTATTCAAAAAGTAGGGAGGGTTGACGGCCTCGTTGGCCGAGTGGTCGCAAGGGGTCTCGGGTTTAATTCCCGGGCCAAGCAAAGTATTACAGGGTTTTTAAAGAATTCTCAATAGTAGAATGGAGTCTGGAATCGTGCCCGGTATGTGGCAATATGTTCAGCCCCTTTTACATGGGACTCACATATTCACATATTCATTAATTCACCTAATAATAAATTATTACATTGGAATAAAAATTTAATTTAGAAAAAAATGTGTTCAATTCTCGGGTCGTTAACTAAGCAAAATCATTCATTACTAGCTACTCGCGACTTCGTCCGTGTAGAATATGATTCTTGTTTTTTTTTATGGCATAAGCCGGTAAACGATCAGACGGATCACCTGATGGTAAGCAATCGGCGCCGCCCATGAACACCTGAAACACCAAGGCGTTACAAGTGTGTTACCGGCTTTTTGAGAATTGGGCATTTGAGGATTGTGGACGATTCGGGGATTGGGAAGACTGGGGAGGGGGGTAATTGGGCCTCCGGTAACCTCACTCACACGACGAAACACAACGTAAGCGTTGTTTCACGTCGGTTTTCTGTGAGGCCGTGGTATCACTCCGGTCGACCCGGCCTGAGCCGTGGCTCTTCCACACTTGGTTTTATGCCATGGGAGCATTTAATCGGGATAAAAAGCCTACCCTATCACCTGAGTCAGCCCATACCCTGCCTGTATACCAAATTTCATAAAAATCCGTTCAGTAGTTTCAGCGTAATTGACGAACAAACATCCAAACAAGGAAATTTTCACATTTATAATTTAAGTGTGATACTAAAGTGATGTCCTGTGATCGGCAATAGGTGAGTGTTCTATTTAAAATGAGTATAAGTCGTAGAATGTAAACTCTTGTACGTTCCTATTAGTCTTAATTTTAACTAAAACTGTCACTTACTGTATTCCAAGATAGATCTGCAAACAGATGAAGTACAGATTATTTATATTGGACAGCAACACAAGAGATCCAAGCTTACGGTCGACCATGCGCACGAGTGTTGATTGTCGAACGTACGCCTCGCGCAAACGTCGCCATACTTGAATTTGTAAGTATAATTCTGTGCCGAACTGAAATATGGAAAGATGTGAGTAAACAGTGAAGTTTCTTAACTAAAACATCATTATTAGAATTACTGAAAGAGTTTTTTTTTATAGCATAAGCCGCTAATCGAGCTGACGGATCACCTGATGGTAAGCAATCGGCGCCGCCCATGGACACTCGAAACACCAAGGCGTTACAAGTGCGTTACCGGCCTTTTGTGAATTGGAAATTTGAGGATTGTGGAAGATTTGGGGATTCGAGAGACTAGAGAGGGGGGTAATTGGGCCTCCAGTAATCTCACTCACACGACGAAATACAACACAAGTGTTGTTTCACGTCAGTTTTCTGTGAGGCCGTGGTATCACTCTGGTCGAGCCGGCCCATTCGTGCCGAAGCATGACTCTCCCACACTTAAAAGTAAGACTTAGTATTAGTTATATTTTTAATAAATAGATTCACTTTTATCCGTGTTTTCGCCTTAATAATAAATTATGACTACTTAGGTACTCTAACTACATATTTTCAATTTTAAGTACGAAATATAAAAAAAAATGTTTTATAAAATGTGAGAAGTTATAATAGGACTTTTATGCAGTAGAAAATTCAGTCGAACAGTTATAGAAAGCAAGAAAAAAAACTATTTATTACATCACGACACATACGCAGACAAGAATACAGGACATACAAACAGAAGCCTATGGTGCGTCTCAGCGCAAAAGGCCGGAGCTCAGCTTAATACTATTGTTCTGCCACGAAGGCTTGAGTCCACAGCGCTGATTTTCAGTTCCAGTCCGTAGTAGTACGTAATTATACACCTACGGTAACGCTTTTCATACAATTACATAACTTCATGCTCGTTTCCCATGGGGGTAGGCAGAGACTGTGGAACGTCGATTGCTACGATTCCTACATACATCTTTCGCTTCATCAACAGCCGCATTTCGCTTCATCAATCTTTTCATGCATGTTCGTCGGTTAAGGGTACTTTTAACAGCACCTAGCTTCACCTAGCTTCACTGACGGACTGACTGATATACTATTATTTTATTTTTTTGTTGACGTTTCAAAAGTACCAAATTAGGGTTAATTAAAATAAATGCTTTGACTTTGACTTTTGACCCTTTTTAATATATCGCTAATCTGTAATCATCAGTATATGTACCGACTGACGGCCCCATCATATCCGCTCTATATACTTCTTTAAACTAAATAAATCGTAACATAGCAAAATCCACAATATCTCTATTTTCTAGGTACTCACAAACACATTCACGTATCAGATACTCAAACAACTATTAGGGAAGTACTAATGAACTGCAGTAATAATGATGACGTCACTATTACACAAGTTCCTCTCAAACACGTAATGATATTGTTTAGCACACACAATTAGGAACTACAAACGGAGTGTTAATAAGATTGTATACAAACGACACTAATTGTTCTCCTACAGAATTTTGTTCGTAATACAGACGTGCGACTGAAAAAGTTTGAAGTCAAAGTCAAAGCATTTATTTCAATTAAACCATAGTTTGGTACTTTTGAAACGTCAACAAATACAAAATAAATAATACTCTGTCAGTCAGTCCGTCAGTGAAACTAGGTGAAGCTAGGTGCTCATTCCAGAAAGGAGAAGAACGAGCAAGAAACTCCATTCGTTACTCTTTTTAAAAAAGTATTTTCTACAATGTCTCTGATACATATTTCAATACTGTACGCATATTTAAGAACAATGCAAAGACACGCTTGACGCATTATACTACTAAAATTAACTTACTAAAATTAAAAAAATAAAAATCTTAAAGTCCAACATGGTGCTCACATATGCATACTGATAATCCATAGAATGAGTGCTTCTATACAAGAAAAGGAAACTCTTTGTTTGCTCTTGTACTCTTTGTTCGCTACTAATAGTCGCTTGATTGATATTTTACATGTTTATTCATTGATTTTAAAACTGAATAAGATAGTGTCCTTAGACGTGTCATTTTATTCGAGTACCAGATGTTTGATTGCATGTTTTTTTTATGGCATAAGCCGGTTATCGAGCATACGAATCACCTGATGGAAAGCAATCGGCGTCGCCCTTGGACACCTGGAACACCAGGGCGTTACAAGTGCGTTACCGGTCATTTGGGGATTAGGCGTTTGAGGATCGTTGGGGATTCAGGGATTGGAAAGATTGGGGGAGGGGAGGGTAATTGGGCCTCCGGTAACCTTACTCACGACGAAACACAACGCAAGCGTTGCTGCACGTCGGTTTTCTGTGAGGCCGTGGTATCACTCCGGTTGAGCCGGCCTATGCGTGCCGCAAGCATGGCTCTCCCACACTTGAACTAGCTTAGGTTTACTTTTACAAAAAAACATAATTAATAACACCAATCTTCACATTGATATTCATTAAATTTGCAATCATAGCTAAACGTTACATTTAACATTACATTTAAGTTAACGTTACATTTAGGGTAAACGTTCGCGTTGCGACTTTTGACGAATGCATGCATCCTTCAGAACAATAGGGTAGTTTCCAGGGTAAGAAAATTAAAAATATAATTAGTCCGTCAGTTAGATAAAGAAAAAATATCAGACACGTATTTTTTATTTTCTCGTATAAAGTTACAATACATATAAAATGGAATTAAGTTTAGAAGTGGGAGGTAGTTGCGTCATAACGTGCTATATTTTGTACCACGCTGTGACGTCACACGACATTTCAAATCATTATATTGTCGAAAGCATTTAATATGGTAAGAAAAGAAAAAATACGTGTCTAATGTTTTAAAATAATCTAAATTTAGGAAACTACCCTATTGGTAGCGTAGAAATGACAGATACCTGCAACTTGCTTCTAGAAACAAAGATAACTGTACTCGAAGCGGCAATGTTGAATCCGTAAATTTTTTTTAATGAACTATGTGACCTATAGGCATAAAAGTTCGGATTGTGAGGTATACTATATTTTCTACCATGTGGGTTTTAATAGTATTCAGCAATAAGTTGTACTAAAATGATCAATCAAAATTCATCTATCAAATTTAATGATGCGATTGATAAGTTTTAATTACTTGCTTTAATATGACGCTCGTCTGCAAGTACCCTTAATGAGAAGCAATGTGTCTGTGGCTTATCGTCATCCGCAAGTTATTACGCTGAGGCTGCTAATAGGGAAACGAACAAAAGAAGGTAGATGAACGAATTGCCTCCAAGTATTGTGGTACATAATGAGATAGTCCGCTACTTTATTTCCCACAGAATAAAGCTGGATTAAGCTATCGTTAGCTGCAATCATTAATTAATGATATGAAATTATTAGTCATTTAAAAAGAGAAACCTTCAAGAAAAGAGCGTATTACCTTTTAAAAGACCGGCAACGCACCTGTGACTCCTTTGGTGTTGCGGGTGTGTCCATGGGCGGTGCTGATCGCTTACCATCAGTTAATCCGTCTGCTCGTTTGATGTAGATTGTAGATATATAACAAAATACATTCAAAATGCAATGAGATTGTTTGATTTTTATTAGTATTTATTTGGGTAAAAATTAATTGCATCGTAATAACTAAATTACTTATATCAAGGATGATATGTCTGTAAATAAAATGTATGAGCAAAAATAACAATAAATTATTATGTTTTCGGCATACTCACGTAATAATTTGACGAGGAACTCGACTAGTTTCAAGATATGCTAGAGGCTCATATTCATGAGCAGCACAGTAGCAGCGCAACAGTCGCCGCGTCGCGGGTCGCGAAATGCGAATTATTATGTGAGTAAGCCGAAAACATAATAATTTATTTAATATGTCTCACGAAAGTTACAATACAAAAAATAACAATTATAAGAAAATAGATAAACTACCTACATACCTTCGGTTTTGTCTCAGATCGCTTTTCAACGGTAACTATTTTCCTAACGTACAAATTCAGTCTTTTGTACCGAGAACTGAGTCCCATGCTGATGAGAATGATAATCAAATCTTGAAAGTTCCACAGAACTGTGGCCAATTTGCTCAAAATAAAAATTGGTATACCATTCCATGCGCTGTAGTCCTCTGCACCAACAAAAAATTATCGAAAAAATCTAAATACGACAATTTTTAAAATGCAAATTCAGTTTATATTCAAATTCAAATCATTTTAATGCATCTATAGTGTGTGTACAGGGTGGTTTACAATTTTTGACAAAATATGTTCCAACTATAGGCCCTTTTGGGCACCACAAAATTACTTACTCTACTTACAAAATAATAGAAATCATGAATATTATTTCTTTACATAAAAACAAGAAAACTTACGAGCTCTGAGCAGAAACCCATGGGAAATAGTGACGTATCTGTAGACAAATTCTCCAATGGGAAAACCAACACCGGTTGCAGATATCATACTCAGAATGTGTTCAACTGTGGACAAGACAAATAGAGGAAAACAAAAATAAAATGTAGTAAAGTGGAATACATGATATAAAAAGTATAACAATGATAAAATAAATTTTGAGAAAAAGACAAGAACATACAGTGGCTTTAAATAAATTCTAATCCATTTAAATTGACTGACATAAGAATTCATTAAAAACTGTGATGCAGGTCACACAAAAAAGTTGAGAAATAAGTCAATAGAGCATTTAAAACATAACATAATATCACGCCGTTTGTGGTATTTTCATATGAAAATAGGCTAGGTATATACCGGGCACATTTCCAGACTCCGTGCTACTACTAAGATTTTTAGAAAACCCAGTGAAGCAGTTTATCTAAACTGGACATTAAAATTTTCATTTTTGGTTGATATTTACACAAAGCTTGTCTGGATAGAGATATTTGAAAATAGAAAGAAATACTCAAAAATACTTACTAGAAGCAACACTAATAACGAAGACGATTATCAAAATAGCCCTCTTTTTTGTTCTCACATCAGGAGGAAATTTGAGCGCAGTATTAGTCTCCGTACTAAGCCAGTAGATATAGAGGTTCCTCCAAGAATGTACAAACTTTGATGAAAGGAATAGTGATATCAAGGCATTTGCATAGAAGATGGCTCCGGACATCCGACCTATAAAACCATCTGAAAGAAGAACCAATTTTTATATTGAATGAATCTTCTGTTTGCCATCACATTAGGTGTGAACGCGTTTTCTGCCGATTTCGCTGTTTTTTCATTGTAGATAGTTTAGTTTTTTTATTTGTAACTACTTATGTTCTTTAAAAATCATTTGAATTTGGTTACATGACGTATGTAAAACGTCCGTAAATGTTGCTCATGATAACGAAGGCATATTTAAGTGTGGGAGAGCCATGCTTCAGCGCGACTGGGTCGGCTCAACTGGAGTGATACCATGGCCTCACAGAAAACCGAAATGTCATCGTGTGAGTGAGGTTATCGGAGGCTCAATTATCCTCCACAATCCTCAAATTCTCAATTCCCAAAAGGCTGGTAACGCACTTGTAACGCCTCGGTGTTTCGGGTGTTCATAAGCGGCGCCGATTGCTTACCATCAGGTGATCCGTCAGCTCGTTTACCAGCTTATGCTCTAAAAAAACACAATCTATCAACTTTCTTAAAGAGTTTTGTGGATAATATAGTGTCATAGTGTCTAATTAGTTAAAAAACTTACTATCAGAAGCGCTCATCAGCCACCCTCCAAGGAACCTTACAACTTTCCAAACTGCTACGGTTTCAGCTACCACCAGCATTGTAAACAGTACCAGACTCCAAGCGAAAGACAAATTGAACCCATAGCCAGAGATCCCGAAGTAACGAGCATTCTTGAACACGTTGTTTAGAATTGGGAGGAAATCCTGGAAAGTAGAAGATTATTAGAGTTCTATTCTGCTTAAGATATAATATGACAAAAGGGCTGATGATGATGTGCTCCATCGTAGACCGTATCATTGCTTACCACCACGAGATACTGCTTTTTGGTCTTAGTAATAGCATTAAGTGGATTTTATCACGGACATATTTAGTTTATTTTAGGAAATCCAGCTCAGTCTGTGAATATTTTTATAGGTTTCTTTGAAATTATCATTATGAACCCTACATATACATATTCAGTAGTGAAGATATGCCTCTTTCAATGAATTTCAGATTAACCGAGTAAGATAACATTAAAAAAATTCTAAATATCACATTTGTAACTTAAACTTTAATAGCAATGAAATTAAATTGAAATTCTCACGTCATATTTCTTCTTCTCATTCAATTTCTTCACGTAATTCCGTTTCATAATAACTTTGAAAAATATCACTTTGCAATCCAATAATATTTGAATTTTCCAAGCTGAAAATTTAACAGTTTTAATTAGAATTTTATTAAGTGCGCCGCCGCAGTAAAAATAAAACTTTATGTCTACGAAACGATAGTAAAAATTTTACTAGTTCAAAGTTTAGCACTTAAACATTACGCCTTACTGAATTCCACCCCCTTTTGTATTCAAAAATGATACTTACTGCGTTGGTAACAAAACATTCATTTAAATAATACGAGTAGGATGAGGAGAATATTTTGCGATTCTGCACTAATCCATAAAGGATTTCGAAGATATTTGATATTAAGTGTGGGAGAACTACGGCACGAATGGGCCGGCTCGATCTCAGCCTTACAGAAAAATGACGTGAAACAACGTTTGCCTTGTGTTTCGTCGTGTGAGTGAGGTTACCGGAGGCCTAATAACCCCCCCCATTTTCTCCAATCTCCTCAATCCCTGTATCCCAAATTTCCCAAATTTCTCAAATTTCTAACCCCCGAAAGGCCGGTAACGTATTTGTAAAGCCTCTGGTGTTCCAGGTGTCCATGGGCGACGCCGATTGCTTACCATCAGGTGATCCGTCAGCTCGTTTAGCAGCTTATACCATAAAAAGGTAATCTTTCTTTTTCACGTAGATGGCAGTCTCTTAGACGTTCAGACTGTAGAAAATACCAAAAAATATGTATTTTTGTGTTAAGATATAAATATAAGTAAGTTTAAGATCAGGGAAGATGAGGAACAAGAAGAAAATAAACATAAACATAAATATAACATCACGCCTTTTATCCCCGAAGGGGTAGGCAGAGATGCACATTCTGCCACTGTATAATGTAACACCCACTTTTCACTATTTATGTTATGAGTCCCATGTAATAGGGGGTGAGCCTATTGCCATATACCGGGCACAATTCCAGACTCCGTGCTACTACTGAGAGTTTTTTTTTTAAACCCAGTAATATTTTGCCCGGCCCGGGAATCGAACCTGAGACCCCTTGCCCGGCAGTCGCACTTGCGACCACTCGGCCAACGAGGCAGAAAATATACCTTGTCTTCTAATTGAAGACAGAGTACTGAATTATTATCTTATTCAACAATTTAATTAATAAATACAGTTTACTTACGATCACCAACTTTGCTTTGTTTTTTCAACACTAGGCGTTTGTTCGACACACAAATTCTTGTAAAAATGACCCATAATAAATATCTTCACCTTCACATTTCAATGTACCATCAATAAATTTATTACTTTGTCTCGAAACACCAAGCATTTATTATGAAAATTATTGTTTCACACTTTACTATCGCATTTTCGAAACAATTATTTACATTATAACAAAATAAATGTAGAAAAACTCACTGTAAGGGATTTTCTACTCTATTCTTGTTGACATAGGAATGGAAACTGCTTGTGTGTGAGTTACAACAAAAAAATTTACAAAACCTCCGTTTAAGGTGATTTCAACTCTATGTAAGTTGGAATAGAAATGGCAATTGTTTGTGTTATAGACACGGAGTTGTGTATTCAAATAAAAATACTATTTTGAAGTAATTTAGTATGAATGTCAATGTATGTTTATGTCATAATTTGTATAATTTATGATTCATTACGTTGATGCTATCTTTCATATGTTTACACTGATTGGTAGGTAATGTGGTACTGGTAAAACTATGGAAATGAGACATGCAGGTATGCATAATTATATAGTTTTAACATATTTCATTGTAATGTTTTAAAATGTCTTTGTTTTATAGTATGTACATGATTTAAATGACATTTTAATAGACTATTTAATATAACATAACATAACATCACGCCTTTTATCCCTGAAGGGGTAGATAAAACCGGCGCTTAAAGCCACTGTACAATTTAACACTCACTTTTCACTATATGTTATGAGTCCCATGTAGGTGGTGAGCCTATTACCATATACCGGGCACAATTCCAGACTCCGTGCTACTACTGAGATTAAAAAAAAATAACCCAGTAATACTTTGCTCGACCTGGAAATTGAACGCCACTCCACTCCACCACTCGGCCAACGGGGCAGTCTATTTAATATTATGTTAATTTATTAACATGTTAACCGCCGCGTAGGTCACCGTAGACCAGCGTTAGCAGAGCGGTTTGCCTTCACAAGTTTTCTGTTGGCAGTCAAAGGCCTAACAATGAAATATCATATAATATTCATCAGAGTGTCGTGGTGGCCCGGAGGTTTAAGACGCCCACTTCTCATGCATGAGGGTGCGGGTTCGAAACCTACCAACGACAAGTACCAATGTGACTTTTTCCGAGTTATATGTACTTTCTAAGATTATTTAGACACCACTGACAAACGGTGAAGGAAAAACATCGTGAAGAAACCTGGACTTATAATTTCTAATTATAAGTTTGAAATCGCCAACCCGCATTGAGCAAGCATGGTGATTAATGCTCTAACCTTCTCCGTGTGAGAAGAGGCTTTGCTCAGCAGTGGGCATTTATAGGCTGTTGATGATTCATCAGAGGTCCAATTACCCTCCCCTTCCCCAATCTCCCCAAGTCCTGAATCCTTAACGATCCTCAAACTCCTAATCCCCAAAAGGGGATCCCCGTCCCCAGGTAACGCACTTGTAACGCCTCTGGTGTTCTAGGTATCCATGAGCGACGCCGATTGCTCACCATCAGGTGATCCGTCTGCTCGTTTAGCGGATTATGCCATAAAAAAATTATATGTAAAGCTTGATAGTTGTAGCTTTTCTTACCAATTTACTTTTATTTGGACTTAGATAAATTTTATAAATGGTTTTGCTTTACCCAAAATGTAATACACCGAGGACAAATGTCTTGCGACGTTGGGTGGAGTAGCGCGACGTGGCCAGACTTAGGTCGACATGTCTTTTTAATGGGACAAGCCCGCCACAACCTTCCAAAACCGCTGCAACTCCTGTAAGCCAGGATCTACAGTAGATACAACCGGAACACTGAAGTCCACCGCGTCCCAGGGACATGAATAACTGTCTTGGTTCCCGCAACGAAGTGAATCAGAAGATATTATAAGAGGAGAAGAAAAAACGATTGTTTCCACTTCCATCGGTGAATTACTGCAGGAGACAGAGTGAGTTAACGTTCGTTGATGTTGCAGACCGACATGTCTAGCAACATCAACGACATCTGGCTTACACTGAATGGGTGACCCTTTTAGCATAGGCATGTTGTCAGCGTCTCTCTTCTAATTCTTCTGTTTTAATTTTTCAACTCAATGTTTTAATTACTTCCACTGTCACACCTTTATTGTGTATTTTTATATTGGTGCTGAATAAATGTTTTTTTTTCTTTCTTTCTAACGTCGTAGTGGACTTACATCGCGCGTTGTCGCCTTTTGTCGGGCGAAATCGGCTGGCTTCGGTTGACATGTCACCGATACATATCGTGGGATGTATGTCCGTTAGTATTTATCCTTGGCTTTAGGTATGTACAAAATATGTCGGAACAAATTAAAAGCAGAGTTTAAGTTCAAATAATAATTAAAATACGATAGTTTCATATATTAGTCACATTTAAATGAATGCTTGGAGTAGTTTCTGAATCTATTTGTCCTTGTCCATCAAACTGAATTAATATTAATTCATAAGTTATTATTGCACCGGCCATCTGAAAAATAAAATGTTTATCATTATTATATTGCTAAGAGAAGAGACAAACTTACAGCTCGATTGGAAGCAACCTGCGTCCAAGGATTCCGTGTAAGAAGATAATGGTTTATCTTTAAAAGAATAGATTAAGTTGCTAATTAATCTAATGGTTACCTTTACGTTGAATCTAAATATAAGTACCAGACAGAAATCCTGTTAAAGTTAAATAATTCCAATTCGAAAAATCAATTAAAGCTTTAGATATTTCCATTTTCCAATTTCGTTACCGAGGATTGAACTCGCTCACATTGTTTTCCAAAAATTATAGTAATACTGAACTAAAATAAAAATATTTCCAATATTTTTTTTTATTTAGTAACTTCCATTTTGACAAAGGTATTAAACAAATTTATCTACGAGAATTATATTCATGACTTAAAAGCTAACAAAGCAGGCCACAAATCGCCATACATTGTTATTCTAGCCACTGCTAATAACGATACAAACCTATGTCTTAATAAATCAACGAACCGACAAAATTCACACATTTATAAACCTAGACTTAGGCCCAAACACTGTAATAAACACCCCATTTATTATCAACCTTACCCCAACAAGGCAAAGTTGAAATTACATCAACGTCAAAAATAATACCAACATTGCTTACTAGCTACAGAATTTGCAACTTTAACAATGAAAAGATAGAGTATGAATTAGTCTGTGAGTGAATACCTGTAACAAAATAGTTTTGTTGAGATAGAAGAATCCCATTCCGCTGAGGGCGATGTAATCTTTAGTTAGTTGGTCTTGGAGCCTTCCTACCTGGGAACAAAGTTCTAATTGTTGTTACCTGAAGTAAATATAAGAAGCTAACGAACTACAAGTTTTACTACATCTGCAACTCTATTTTGGTCGTATCCTGTATACGTAGCTTTTTTTTTGAGCGGGGAAAATCATCCAATGACTGCTCCCGCCCGGGTGAGGCGAGATGGAGTGTCAGACTCTTACTGACTAAAAACCACCCCGTTCCTACTTCTGCACTTCGAGCCGGAGCCCCGGCAACCTGTTAAGTCTTCCGCAGCTCCGTATCGGCATCAGCCCTGTTGGGCCCCATCTGTGGTGGTCTGATGGCTAGTGTACAGGGTAGCTGCATTAATATTTTGTATTTTTTTTGTGTAGCATTAGATTAATATATCAATATAGGTTTGTTTAGTAATTTGATGGAGTTAAAAACTGCTTTATTGATCAAATGTTGACAAACGCAAGTGCTAAGCAAAAGGTCTCAAGTTTCATTCTACGATAGGGCAAAACATTAATGGAGTTGATTTCGGTTTTCCGAAAATTACTCAGTAGCGCACATTGTTTAGAATTAAGTTTGTTTTAATCACATGGGACTCATGAAATGCTGGTAAAAATGGGTGTCACATTAATGATCGACACCTTAATTAGTACATGAAGTCAATGAGATACAATTTTACAGAATATAAAATAATGACTACCATTTCAATATTCAACATCATCAACAGCCTATAAATGCCCACTGCTGAGCAAAGCCTCTTCTCACACGGAGAAAGTTTGAGCATTAATCACCACGCTTTCTTTCACGCTTTTTCACCACCATTGCGGGTTGGCGATTTCAAACTTATTATAAGAAATTATAAGTCCAGATTTCCTAACGATGTTTTCCTTCACCGTTTGTCAGTGGTGTCTAAATAATCTTAGAAAGTACATATAACTCGGAAAAAGTCACATTGGTACTTGCCATTGGTAGGTTTCGACCCGCTTAACCGCCCGGATCCCTCACGATGACGACGACGATTTTAATATTACTACTTATCATCGCTTACCACCAGGAGAGATAGTGGTTAAACATCGGCCCATCAAATATACATAAAAAAAACTTAAACTTACTTCAACATTATAGCAGTGTGTTTCATAAGTATACAAGTACTTGAGGGCAGTCTTTGAGTGTGTGTTCACTCCCGACGCGGAGAGTACGACACTTATCACGCGGGTACACAGCCAGACGAGTGATACCACGTAGTATATACCTGTCATTACATCTGTAGATAGACCTTGCCTGGAAAATAAAAATGGTGTATTGTTTATCGACATTTTAGACTACACGTATTTTTCTAAGATGGATGGGTCCAGGTATGTTAAGTTTCCCATTGAAGTATGTTAAGTTTCAAACTTATAATTAGAATTTATAAGTCCAGGTTTCCTCCCGATGCTTTCCTTCACCGTTTGTCAGTGGTGTCTTTATGGTTTCATTCAATGAGTGGAGATTAAAAGTCTCATCACTACCTACAAAGGACTCCTACTTCTTCAGGGATATGACATGATATTTTTTATGTGATAAGCCTGCCACAACCTCCCAAAACCGCTGCAACTCCTATGAGCCAGGATCTACAGTAGATACAACCATGAAAACACCGGAACACTGAAGCGCGTATCAGGGTCATGAATAACTGTCTTGGTTCCCGCAACGAAGTGAATCAGAAGACATGACATGATATTACATAAATATACATATACGTAGTAGTACGTAATTATAAACCTACGGTAACGCTGTCTTTCACGGGGATAGACAGAGACTATGGAACGCCAATTGATACGATTCTTACATACCTCTTTCGCTTTATCAACAGTCAAAATCTTTTGATATATGCATGATATTAATAAATAAATATTATTCTTACGTAATTCCCAAGAACATTTGCAAGCATATGAAGTAGAAGTTGCAAGAGCAGGACAGCATAACGATGCCCCCGAGAGCTCCGTCCATCCGTCGTACTAACATCGCTTGCTTCACGTACGCCTCCCGTATTTTATGCCACGTGTACACTTTTAGAGCTTCTGACTTCTGGAAAGTGGGAATGATGATTAGATTATTATTTATATAATTTATCCTTTCTTCATTTAGTATATAAGGACCTACTTTTGTTTGTAAAGAAGATTTTTATAAAACTTAAAACTTGTTTTGAAATAATTTGGATGACTTTAGAGTTACATTCTTTATTGACTGCCAAGTGGTTTTGATGACTCGATTCCCGGGTTGGGCAAGGTATTAATGGATGTTTAAAAATTCTCAGTAGAAGCACGGAGTCTGGAATTGTGCCCGATTTATGGCAATAGGCTATACATGGGAATTAAAACATAAATAGTGAAAAGTAGGTATTATTACATTGTACAGTGGCATTAGGTGCCGTAATGTGCACCTCTGCCTACAACTTCGGGGATAAAAGGCGTGATATTATGTTTTGGTTTACAAGACAGACCTAAATACGAAGCTGAAGAAGTTTGAGATTGTGTCGTTTTTAAATGAGTGTGATGTTTGCGTCTTACAGTATAGCATAAACCTAATTAAAACAAATAAATGATGTAGTAAGATGTAGGACGATGAGGACATACTAAATTCGTACTAAATGTACCTAAAATTAGGTTACTTTTAGCACATCTCAGCCCAAGCTAAGTTATAAATTATACCTCATACCTTATTAAACTCCGTCTGATATTTTTCTACTTCACATAATTTAGCGACGTAGCCATTGAGCCTATAATACCGAGATGTAAGACCAATGCTGATGAGGACTATGAGCTGATCTTGGAAGTTCCATAGCAGACTGGCTAAAGTGCTTACCAGTATTAATGGCATTGCAAACCATTCGGAGTAGTCTTCTGGAATTCAAGATCAATTTTATTGGGGTGTGCGTGAAAATGTGTGCGCATATGACCTAAAGGGAAAAGGTTTTAAGACACTGCGGTTTGGGGCTCTGATTGATTGGGTTTTTGAAGCCGGCCAATCAGAGGGCATAGTACAAGTTAGTTTTACGTTAAAAGTAATCGAAACGAGAACGCGTTCGGCGCTTTGATTGGTTGGTTCATTGGCACCGGCCAATCACAGCGCCGAACGCGTACTCATTTCGAATACTTTATGAGACATGACGCTCTGTTAGAATAACTTCTTTGGCTAGATGTCATACTAGTTCCAAAACAAATAATAGACGGTGCTGTGGCAGCGCCGTCAGGTATATTTCCTGGGTTTACTGTATTTATTCTAGAGTAAGCACTTACGTCCCATAAAGAGGAATCCATGAGAGACAAGCACGTATCGTTTCATCATTAGAGATGGGGGACAGTCTAACCCAACAGATGCAATCATGCTGACTGTATGCTCAACTGTAAAATAAAAAAAGTAGTAAGTAGTTTCAGCGACATTGACAGATAAACATCCAAACAAACAAAGAAAGAAAGAAAGATCGTTTATCTGTCAAACATACATGTTTCCATAAACTGAGTAATCAGACATGCAAGATGTTAAATAGTTTGTTGTGCGTTTCAAAGAAGCCAGATAGTGTGATTCAACAAAATAAATGATTGCCAGCTCGTGATAAATAAATTGTTCATTAAGAAAATTAAACTCAATCAACTCACACATTGAACAGAAAGTCATGAGTCCAAAAACTAGATACATTCGTCGTTTTAACGTGCTATCAGTAGGAACCTTCACCCCCACTGATCGTTCCACTTTAGCCCATAATAGCGATATGTTACTCCGCCAATAGTACCAGAGTTTCGATGCTACGTACAGCGACATTATCGATATCGAATAAAATATTGTTCCTGCGAGGCGCGCTGTTATGCTTCCTAGAACAAAATACAGTAGGAATTGCTTTAGGTTTAGGTTGAGCTATAAAGGGAGGTTGTGTGATTGGTTCTCATTCTGATAAAGGCATTAATAAATCAATTATTCAGCCTAATTTGTTCATACAAAATAGACTCTAAAAATCGGAAATAAGGTCTATAATGTAGTTAGTGGAGAGCGGTCACCGGTGACCGCTTAGGGATAAATGGGTTGTCTTACGCACACTACAATTGACAACTGACTTTTACAAAACATAACATACTTAGGTGCACATACGTATTTAGGAATAGTAACTATTGCCTAACCCTGGACATATTTATTGAAAAGCCAAAGTTTTCAGTCATTTTTGCCCTATACGGAAACTTAACCCGGTATTCCTTGCATTATCGCTCACTTGGGGCAGTCCAAACACCATTACAACACAAACAATACAACTATCACAATAAACCTTACAATGAAGTCAAAATATAACATTAGAAGTATACTCACGGTGTCCACTCGTATCCCTGGCTACTCCAGTAACTGCTCGAATGACCTTCCAGATAGCTAAGTACTCTATAACCACCAACGACGCCAAGATAAGGGCACTCCACAATATACTGATGTACCTCTTCGAACCAAATACACCGAATATACACGACCAGTGAAACACCTTTTCCATAGTGTCTAAGAAGTCCTGATTGAAAGAAGGATGTGATAAAAAAATGAATTAAAAACCTTTGTAAAAACAAACTTATATTTGCAACTTATTAATAATACTTTGCATTGATTGGTGCATATCATGTATGTTTTGAATTATTCATACACACAAGCTATATGTTAATTATTAATTAAAAATAGAAACGTTACAAACAATTGTGCGGTGTAAGGTGCGGTGGCTAGGCAACTGGCTGCCGCGCAACGTGTCGCGGGTTCGATTTCCGTACGGAACAACTCTTTGTGTAATCCACTGATTGTTGTTCCGGATCTGGGTGTCACGTATATGTGAACTTGTATGTTTGTAAACGCACCCACGATACAGGAGTAAATCCTAGTGTGGGGCAACGCTTTAACAAAAAAATTTGTATAGCAGTTGGACTTGACGTTAATCGTAGCAACCTTTTGCAACTATAACCATAATCTTGTTAGTGGTATCACTATATAGAAGAAGCACATAACACCACTGATTGATAAGCGTATATCATTCTGATGGTCATTTGTCTACCCAAAAATATAAAAGTAAGAATAAAATACGATATAAAACTTACATCATGTACAGGGTGTTCCGGTAGGAGCAGCTTATTATTACCAAAAAACTGTTTATAATCTTGTCCAGACATATTCAAAAGCGCACTGTGCAAATTTTAACAATATCGATCTTTGTTCCTTGTTAATCTAACAGCAGCCATTTTTAATTTTAATGGCGGTCTAGAAAGGCTAGGTTGTTAGATAGACAATCATAATTGATTTCCTATTTTACCTTTCGTTGAAAACCGACCAAATTGGTTAGGTGAAGACCAATTTAGATTGAGCTCTATTATAAAATGTAAGCGGTGATATGTGATAGTTTTAATATTTAATATTTGTAACATAAACACATCATCACGTCTTTTATCCCGGAAGGGGTTTTTTTTAATAGGGGAAAATCATCGAATGACTGCTCCCGCCTGGGTGAGGCGGGAGGGAGTGTCAGACTCTTACTGACTAAAAACCACCCCGTTTCTTCTTCTGCACGTCGAGCCGGAGCCCCGGTTACTCGTTAGGTTCTCCGCGACATCAGGGTAGGCAGAGGTGCACAATACGGCACTTAATGCCACTATAGAATGTAACCAACTTTTCACTATTATGTTATGAGTCCCATGTAACAGGGGGTGAGCCTATTGCCATATACCGGGCACATTTCCAGACTCCGTGCTACTACTGAGTTTTTTGAAAGATATCTCTTAGGGAATAACACATTAATCTGTGATAAAATTATTAATCTCAAAAGTATCGTAGTAGTGACCCCTTTTATTTGACAAATATGAGCAAAGGCATGTGCCATGAACTAATAAATAACTAAACAACATGTCAATACAATAGTTATTTTACTATTTTCCTACAGGTCAATTGAAACTGGGTAGTAACTGTTTGTTAAACATAACACGCGATTTGGTAGTTTTTATCAATAACATGGAATCGTACAGGCTATTTTTGTTTAATGACATTATGCATAATATAAAAGGAAAACGTTTAGCTTTTATTTGACGACTAGTGTCATAGGTCATGTATTTTTTTTTAATAGGTAAATACAAAAATGTACATAACAAAGAAACTGATATAAGCTGTTCACTCTAAAAAACATATAGGTAACTATTCATATCGGACTAATCACATACAAAGAGGTTGATAGTCGGTTTAGAGTTTAATTCAAGCACAAAATTATTGAGTATTAACTTCTTCTCGGTAGAAAGTTGCCTATAGGTATATTACATAACATCAGGCCTTTTATCCTCGAAAGGGTAGGCAGAGGTGCACATTATACCACTGTACAATGTAACACCCACTTTTCACTATTTATGTTATGAGTCCCATGTAATAGGGGGTGAGCCTATTGCCATATACCGGGCACAGTTCCAGACTCCTGAGAATTAAAAAAAAAACCAGTTATACTTTACCCGACCCGGGATTGCGACCACTCGGCCAACGAGGCAGTCGAAGTTGGCAGCATAATCTACCTCAGTTCTAAATTTCAGCCCGAGCCCTCCAGCCTGTGATTGATTAACTAACACACACACAAACTTACATATTTTTGCATTTATAATATCGGTTCAGGATTATGTCAACTATCGGCCCTACAGTTGCAGCGTAAAGTCCTAGTTATAGATTAGCTTTCTGTCTGCCTTCGCCAGCGTGACCAAGGAAATGTAGTTTATATCTCAGTATACCACCAGTCTTTCCTATCCTCCCAATCCTCAGAAGGCTGGCAATGTACTTGTATATTTTCTGGTGTTACTGGTATCCTATGATTGGCACAGATTGCTTACCGTCAGTTGATGTGCCTGCTCGCTTAACCTATCCCATTAAAAACCTCCGAGAAAATAAAAGACGTAATATTGTAATAAAGACAATATAATTCATTAATAATGTATTGAGAACAAATAAAACAAAACATGACTTCTAATCTGCATAATAATTTATGTCATTAATCTACTCCAACGCCATTTTTAGTCAAGTTTAGTTGAACATCATCTGTACCCTTGTCATCAAACTGTATCAAGACCAGTTCATACGTTATTATTGCACCAGCCATCTGTAAACATAGATTAAACTATATGAGATTACAAAAACTTACTTTTCCTAAATTACCAATCACTGAATCTGAAATGGTGCTTAGTAAATGGTAATGAGTTTGGTCCCCATTATATTGGACTCACATGACATAACTTAAAGTAGTACACATAGTACCTATACTCAACTTACTTATATATTAAGTACCTATGAAAAGTGTATATCATATTTTTGCTATGTGCAAATAGGGTGCCAGGGAATGAAAATTAAAAATCTAATTAGTCCGTCAGTTAGATAATGAAAAAATATTAGACACGTATTTTTTTTTTTCGTATGAGATTATAATACTTAGATAAAATGGAGTTAAGTTTAGGAGTCATTCATTGATGGTTATTACGTCACAAAGTGCTACAAAATGTAGCGCATTGTGACGTCACATGATATTTCACATTAAGGTTACACTAGTCGATATTTTTTCCATAGAAAGTTCGGGGTGGTATTACTCGACAGTGTGAATGTGTACCTACAAAATTAAACACGATATCGTTTTATCTTGTAATTACATTTGTCGGTACGGGAACAAAAAAAATAAAAAAAAAAAACTACTAAAAAGTTATGAGCCAACAAAGTTTTGTTTTTCTTTACAATTTTAACGCAACTTTGGGTGTTAAAAAATACCACTAATCGTGTAAAATCTCCAAACCGAAGACCGTACCGACTCAGCACAATTACCATAGAGTTCTATAAAATTTATTTGAAATTGATCTAAGCAGTGGTTTTTTCAAAAAACGCTATTTTCTAAAGCACTAAATCGTACTTTTTTACGCACTCGTTTTGTGATGGATTATCGTGCATTTCACTGGATAAAACTCCCCCGGCAGTGCGCGGGGCGGAGGGAAGACGCACACGCGTTTTTGCACAATTTTTTGCACAATTATTATTTGCACGACACGCGCTGTCGTGCAATTGTCGTGATTTAGTGAAGTTGTTTTGGTTGATTGCATGACACTTGGAATTTCCAAGTGTCATTGGAAAATACATAATAAACAATGGGTAAGTCGTCCCTACAATTTATTATACCTTATCTAATTAGATTTTATTAGATACAGTTATCGGTACGGATCCCAGCAGCAACCCAGCCATCGTGAAGGACACACTGGGCGTCGGGGATCGCGGGACGATATCCGGCCACTGTAAGCGCGGGCCTGCGGACGGCGAACATGGGTGGCTCCCCGTCCGACCAGAAACAAACCCGAGCGTCCGGCGCGTCGCGTTCCGCGCGTGCCTCAAAGAGCCATCAGACCACCACAGATATGGGGCCCAATAGGGCCGATGCCGATTCGGAGTCGCGGAGAACCTAACGGGTAACCGGGGCTCCGGCTCGACGTGCAGGAGAAGGAACGGGGTGGTTTTTAGTCAGTAAGAGTCTGACACTCCCTCCCGCCTCACCTAGGCAGGAGCAATCAATCGATGATTTTCCAACATAAAAAAAAAATTCTACTTGTTTATATCTTTACTTCGGACTTCAAACCAATGACCAAACGAAAAAAAATTTCCAAAGATATAATTTCGAGTACTATACTGAATTGCGTGTTGTAACATTTTACTTGAACTCACAAAATTAATCATATCTTCTGATAGAGTGAACCGATTTCGATGAAACAAAAACTAAGTTACACCTCGAGTTGCGTAGAATTTTTATATATTAACAATGTCTGCATTGAATTCGTAGATTTTACGTGATGCGCGCACAAACAAACAGACAAACAGACAACAATTTCAAAAATGATGGAAATGGGTTCTGTTGGTTATCTTTTAACACACTGGCTATTTTTTTTGTCAATTTCTTCAATGTACAAAAATTACTTTTCTACAGATTTATTATATGTATAGAATAGATATAGATAAATATTACGATTACCAATAAAGATTTTTCAGGTTCATTGTTTTTTTTTGTCTATAAATAAAAGCATAATAAATAAGCAAGTAACTAAAAGGGTGAACCCTTAGCAATTATACCCAGCCTTGCGGCGCTCTCCTGTGCTGCTAATACAGATACTATACCGGCATGAATATTGAGCGTTGACTCAGATTGCGCAGAAATCAAGTCTCTTTAGTAGTAGGTATTGTGAGAAGGATTGTTGCTACCTACAATTCTTCTCCCAAAAATCCTTTTACAGTGATTAGCTCGCCAATGTATACCTACCCACTTTGATGCCGAGCGCTCAAGATTCGAGCCGGTATCTCTACTTATGTTTGTGTCAGGGAGGTACCTAGTGCGCAGCTTTATGTTACGTTCCGAGCTGCCAAAAAGTCTGTAGGTACCTAACACGAAGTTGGAGTTAGGGACCTACCTACACGATGTAGGTATGAAGTCCACAAGTTTTGTTACGGACGAAATGACGAAAATCTAATTATGTGGTATTATCACTACTTCTAGTAATCTTAGGTAGTCACCGACGTACCTAACTAGGTAAGTATATATTTAATTTTATGAAAACATAATGACAGATCAATTGTCTCGAAATTCAGGAAATAATTCAGACCAGTAAGTACCTACCTAAATAGGTAGGTAGTTCCTGAGATTATTATGTTCAACCAAACAAACTATAATATTAGTTAAACATTATAACCTGATGAAAATATGACATTTGAACTGTATTATTTAGATAAAAGATGCATCTAGCTAGTTTGTAGTAGATACATAAAGTTATTGGTACTTAGAAAAAAAAATATTATATAAAATTATATCCCTAGCCTTTCGTGGATTCTTCGGATCGGATGATAAGTTGATATCATAAAAAAATTGTCAGTAATTACAATGCCCTGTGACAATAATTATTAAATTCATGCGAGCATCATAAAATCGTAGCAGCGTGTACGACTTTACTACGAGTAAACACACACAGCACAGATATATGCACCGTTCAGTGACGTTTTTCTGTGTTTGTGTGCGTGCGAACAATACGTCGTGCAAAATAGATAGCGTCTAACTGCTCATCACTGGTACTATTTCTGTCACACACGATGTTAGATGAGACAGCGCGCTTTTTGGCCACGCCCTTGATTGAGTTCGAGCCCGCGACTAGTTTAACCTTAATATAATAATATCGTCGAAAGTATTTAATTTTGTGAGATAGGAGAAAATATGTGTCTAATGTTTTAAATTAATCTACAAGATGGACATTAATATAAAATTTAGGCAACTACCCTATTTTGGTGTGTCAACCTTTTGGTCACAATAACAAGAATTAGGATTTTATTTTCTCCAAGTAGTTAAATTGCTTCTGCACCAAATTTCGTTTAGAGGAAGTATTCTAGAAATGGGTTCTTAATGACTATGAAGGCTTTAATGTTGTTTGGTGCGGTTTTATGAGGTCGAATGCTCATGTTTTCAAATCCCGAACTCTACAGTTATTGAACACTTTCGTGATGATGTACTAATTAATAAGAGAAAAACAAAATATGACAACATGTCACACTAACGGTGAATGAATTCTTGATTCTAAGTAAACTTTTGCCCCTGAATATTTCAACTTTTAATCATCATCATCATCGTCTACAGCCTATAAGTGGCCAATGCTGATCAATGGCATCTTCTTGCATGGAGAAGTATTTGAGCATTAATCACCACGCTTGCTCAATGAGGGCTGGCGATTTCAAACTTGTAAGTAGAAATTATAAGTCTAGGTTTCCTTACGATGTTTTTCTTCACCGTTGGTCATTGGTATCTAGATAATCGCAGAAAGTATATACATACAACTGCCGTTGGTAGGTTTCGAAACCGCAATCTCATGCCTGAGAAGCGGGCGTCTTAAACCCTTGGGTCCGACATTTTTGAAAAATCATCAAACAGTTTTTTTAATCGCGAACATGTTAACAGTGTTTTCATAATATTTACTAAAACTTTTAAAATACCATCTCTATTCACAAGCACTTATACCTAAAACACGACAAAAGCACCCAGAGACTTCAAACCAGCTTCTACTTTTTAAGTTCCTTCGTAAATAATAAAACGATACTTGACCTGCAATAAAATACTTTTGCTCAAGTAGAAGAAGCCTTTGCCGCTTAAAGCCACGTAATCCTTGGAGAGTTGATCCTGAAGCCGCCCCATCTGCAAGATGAATCGTGTCTTTGTAAGTGGTTGTAAGCAGGACTTCTCTGTACTAGTGTTATTGGATTTTTCCACTGAGAAATGTCTTGTAGTATGTATTGTTTGAATTTGAGCTGAATTCAAGAGACGGTGTTTTAAAACACTAAAAGGAGACTTTTTACAAGGAATGTTGAATTTTTGCAGTTTAACTTCTTGATCTAGTGGCATTTGTCAAGTAAAAATTTCCAAGATTTAATAGCTAAGGCAACAATGGTAAAGCGTTATTAACACCATCATCAAGTGAAAGACGTTCACATCTGAATAAAGGTACCTATCTCTATTATATTATTATCATTACATCGCCTTGGTTTTATGACTGTAATGTTATACTATTTAATTAAAATAAATAAATAAATAAACAGCCTATAAGTGGCCACTGCTGACCAAAAGCGTCTTCTCATACGGAGAAGGTTTGAGCATCAATCACCACACTTGCTTAATGCGGGTTGGCGATTTCAAACCTATAATTAGAAATTATAAGCCCAGGTTTCCTCATGATGTTTTCACCAACCTTTGTCAGTGGTGTCTAAATAATCTTAAAACGTAAGTACAATCTTAAAAGTACAGTTTTATATTATTATATCCATCAAAAAAAAGTATTTCAACAAAAGGACCATTGCCATTGCGAAACTAAAAAAAGAATATTTCATAAATCTTTAACTCGTTACCTCAACATTATAATAAAGAGTATCGTGTGTATAGATGTGGTTGAGAGCTATCTGAGAGTGGACGTTTATGTCAGAGGCTGCCAGGACAACGATGATCACTCTGAAGCACAACCAGCCCAATGAAGTGAAGTAGTAGACTGTCCTGAGAGGCTCACTTGATTGACTTTGGCTGTGAACAAGATAATAATAGTATTACAAACGTTTAGTTAAATTATAATGTTATTAGAGGTGCACACAGAAGTAACACCCACTTTTTACTATTTATGTTATGAGTCTCATGTAATAGGAGGTGAGCCTATTGCCATACTTATACCGTGAACATTTCCTGTCTCCGTGCTACTACTGAGATTTTTTTATAAAACCTAGTAATACTTTGAATGTGAGCTGTAACTGTTGGCCTAGTAGTCGCAAGGGCGACTGCCGGGCAAGGGTCTCGGGTTCGGTTTCCGGCTCGGGAACGTATTATTAAAATACAATCTCAGTACTCGCGAGAAGTTTGGAATTATGTCCGGTATATAGCAATAGGCTCAGCCCCTTTTACATGGGACTCATAAGTAGTGAAAAGTGTTTTGAGGTAGTGTGAGTGACATCTCGCACTATAAGTAAATAGTGCACCGTTGTGATTAATTTTGATAAATTGCGAACTTTTGGATATCGGTATGGATCATGAGACATAATGGTAATAGGGAAATCCATAACTGTCGTTATGGTATCGGCTGATGGTTTCGGTTGCCAGTCCCCCCAAAAAACTAGCATGTGAATTAAGAATATAGTGTCACCCTAAACTATTATACATGACAGATTGACAGACAGTTGGTACATGTTAGTAGTAAACACGCACGAAGCGCTTCGCTTCAAGCTTCCTTGTGCGTACTGCTAAAGAGTGGAATTCTTTGCCAGAGTCTGTATTTCCTGAAGGGTATAACCTGGGAGTCTTCAAGGGCCGAGTGAATAGGTTGCTTATGGGACGACGTGCTCCATCGTAGATTGCATCATCGCTTACCACCAGGCGAGATAGTGGTCAAACGTCGCCACAACAAATATGTAAAAAAAAATCGAACTAGGATAAGAGTCTGTAACAACTATCACCAACAAAATACGCCTTAAAGAAATGGCCAGGAATAGAAAGGACATAAAAGAACCACGAACAGCTGCTTATTTGTAAAAACAAAACTGAATACGAAACCAAGTTTATATAGGCAGTGTCTACACGAGAATCGCAAAACAGTATTTTATTGAACTCAGTACTTAGACTTAGTGGAACTTGTTCGTGAATTACTTACATTCCTAACGTAAATCAAAGGTGATTAATGTCAGCACCTACATGTGTTCCAAGCCTTACGCTTTTTACTACAGCTGTGTGAACACTTACGATGTTTTTCTTGTACTCCTCGGGTCTAATGATAGATTAAGTACCGTGGAAAGTGTTTGTAATTCGTATGGGAATAGCCTTTATATTTTAACGTTTAAGATCAGTTTTCGTTTGGCGTTAGTGCTATAATAATAGGTTATAATTTGATTGAAAAATGTAATCTACTACTGTTAGATTTTTTTGAAGTTTTATAAGCGTAACAAAAATAAAACGTGGAATTAAAACGCAATGTAAAATTGAACCGTGGAAACATGAAATTAAAGCTTACAATAAATTATAGACAATAATTTGATTTTTTTTTAATAAGAACGTTGTCCCACACTAGGATTTTCTTCTGTGTCGTGGGTGCGTTTACAAACATACAAGTTCACATACACATGACATTCAGACCCGGAAAAATAATTTGTGGATCAGCCAAAGAGTTGCTCCGTGCGGAAATCGAACCCGCGACACGGTGCGTGGCAGCCAGTTGCCCAGCCACCGCACTAATCGTATTGTTTTCATATAGGAACTGCAGCTTAGTTAACATTCATAAACTTACGTGATGCCAAGAAACAGCTGTAGACATATAAAATAAAAATTACAGAAACACGACAATATAATGATGCCACCAATAGCGTCGTCCACCTTGCGAACTAACATCGCTTGCTTCACGTACGCCTCTCGCAGTTTGCGCCAAGTGTACACTTTCGTTGCTTCGGTTTTCTGTAATTGATAATTATTTATTAGTAATTCACTTAACTTTAAATCACGATTTTTAATCCCCCGTAAGAGTAATCAGGCGTGTACATACATAGAGATCTACCAAATAACTATTCTTCATTAGTACTAAGTATTAGTACAGTATTGAAATATGTATCAGAGACATTGTAGAACATACTTTTTTTAAAAAGAGTAACGAATGGAGTTTTTGCTCGTTCTTCTCCATTCAAATCTACATTTTGGAATGAGCACATAGCTCCCCCAGTTTCACTGACGGACTGACTGACAGACTATTATTTATTTTGTATTTGTTGACGTTTCAAAAGTACCAAACTATGAATTTTAATTGAAATAAATGCTTTGACTTTGACTTTGACTTTTTGACAGTTTTGTTATATGAGGGTAAATTAGTGCTATAGCTGAGAAATTATCTAAAAAAAAAGAAAACCCACGATATCGAACTGGAGACTCCTTGCATATACAATGCAATTTATGTCAATATCACAATTTATGAATAACCTATGGAGTTTCTTACTTGTTCTTCTTCATAGCAATCTGCACCTTGGAATAAGTAAATAGCTCCACTTTTAATTTTTTGTTGAATTTTAATAGTGCCTTTCTGGCCTAATTGAAATAAATGATTTTGACTTTGACTTGAATTTACAATAAAATCATTCAATCAAAGCATCAACATTCTTTGTTTGAATGGATAGTAGATTAACTAATGAGCTATTACATATTTTTAATTACCACGGAGGCCCATAATACTATGGACACCGTTTTAGCATTTACGTCAATAATGCTATTACTCAATTGGATAGAGCTTAATGGCGTACACCGCGCATTAATATGGATTACAGAAATCAGATTTATCTTCTATTTGGATTTCGGAAATCAATCAGGCAAATGATATCTATCCAGCTACTGCCACAACCCTGAAGGGTTTTTGTCAAATCAAATCAAATTTGAAAAATTTAATTTTCAAAATTTTTATTTTTTTGTAGAATAAGCCGGTAAACGAGCAGACGGGTCGCCTGGAACACCAGAGGCGTTACAAGTGCGTTACCGGCCTTTTGAGGAATTGGGAGTTTGAAGATCGTTGGGGATTCAGGAATTGGGGAGATTGGGGAAGAGGAGGGTAATTGGGTCTTCGGTAACCTCACTCACACGACGAAACACAACGCAAGCGTTGCTTTACGTCGGTTTTCTGTGAGGCCGTGGTATCACTCCATTCGAGCCGGCCCATTCGTGCCGAAGCATGGCTCTCCCACACTTAAAATACCACACTTTGAATAGTGACGACCTTAGTACCTTTTTTGATGACGAGGGGAAACTTTCACAATGCGCCTAGTTTTTTGGGGGGTATAAGACTAGGAAGTGTGGGATACCTCACTAAAACCACCCTGGTGGCCACACTTAACACCTGTATGAAGGCACCGGGTCCTTCAAAAGAGATTTTAGAAGCCTGTACGACCTTGGTACCTAAAGATAATCGTATCATACATGGTTTGCTACGCATTAGTACTTTATATTACCATTAGCTGTTACCTGCGTCTTCGTCAGCGTAGAATATGATTCCTTTTTTATACCATGGGAGCATTTAATCGGGATAAAAATTACCTAAGACAGCCCATACCCTGCCTACATACCAAATTTAATCAAGATCCGTTTAATAGTTCCAGCGTGATTGGCGGACAAACATAGATACAAAGAAACATTCAAATTTATAGTATTTGTGATACTGGTAGCATCATAGTCTCCGATGTTAAGTAGACCTGAACACCGTAGCCTATTGACCTACAGTTGCAATAGCAGAGGTTAATTTATTACTTAGGCTGCCAGTAGACGAGCAGTAAGCTTTTTTGCTATGAGGAAGAACCCCTCTGCGGTTCGAAACCAGTAGAGTTTTTCTCAGTATATTCACGTGAGTAACCTGCGATTTTTAGTTAATTTAGTATGTCTCACGATAGTTATTATAAAAACATTACAGTAGATATAGAGGTAAAAATCCTTACTATTATAAATGGGAAAGTGAGTTTGTTTGTTGGTTTGTTTGTTCCGCCTTCACGCTGTAACTTCTAAACCGATTGCTTTGAATTTTTGCAGACGTAAAGTTAGAAGTCCGGATTAAATAATAGGGTACATTTTATACCGGAAAATTTTGATATTCCAGAAGGAAAACAAAAGAATTGGTATAGATGGTGCTGTGTGTATTGGTATATGTCACATAGGCTACTTTTATCTTTTTGTGACGCGAGCGAAGGCGCGGGTAAAAGATAGTACTAAATAAGACCATAGAAGGCTTCTATATTTTTATTATCTTTTTGGAACTCCAATAGGTTCACGTTTGAAAGCTACGAGTTCTAACTCGTTCAATCTAGACCCGGTTGCTATAATTTCCCAGGAGCGCTATAAGTTTCGATTATGATATTGTTCATGTGTAACTTGAGGCAGATTTTACTGTATTGTTTGGAATTATTGATTAAAGTTATCAATTTGAAGATGGTTATATGTAATAAGGTACAACAATACATAACGGTATTCGGTAAGTTCTGTTATTTAGCATACAAAAGGGAAATAATGACAAAACAGTATTGATTGTAGTAAAAACATTGTGCCACATTTTTGCATTATGCTTGACAAGCTCATAAACAATCAAATGTATAGACATTTGTAATAATTTTTTATGTTTTCGTCAAAAAATACTCGTATCGAAAAAAACGAAAGTGTGGGAGAGCCATGCTTCGGCATGAATGGGCCAGGTCGATTGAATTAATACCACGGCCTCACAGAAGACCATAGAAATATTAAAAAAAAAACCAGAAATATTCTGTATTGTACCTATGCAGAAAACCTACGTAAAAGAACACTGATGTTGTTTCACGTCGTGTAAGTGAGGGTACTAGAGAGAGACCCAATTACCGGCCCCTCCCTTCCTCAATCTCCCCAATCCCTGAATCCTCAACAATTCTCAAATTCCTAATCCCTAAAAGGCCGGTATAGCACTTGTAACGCCTCGAGTGTTCCAGTTGTTATCGGGCGATGCCGATTGATTACCATCATGTGATCCGTCTGTTCATTTACCGGCTTGTTCCATAAAAAAAGAAGAATGCGTTTGTTATTAATTATTGTAGATATCAAGAAAATTAAATTGCCTTTGCCGTTTATATTCAAAGTTCGACAAAATCATCAAAATTGAGTATTACTATACTAAATTACATCAGCACGTTTACTACCAAAATACTCTAGGTATCCCTAATTCACCTAGTTTATCTAACATTCCTACTAAACGTTCAACCAACTACGTCTTAGTTTGCAAAATGCAGCTGGCGAGCTCCGAGAAAGTATTTGTCACGGAACGCTCCATTAAGGGCGTCAGGCGATAAGTAGCAGCATTTGTTACTTAAATCCACGATATTCATCCGAACCGCTTAATTTTCACAAATAGATCGATATTCAGTACTAAATACATTGGTACATGTACTCTGAGTGTAACATTGTTTTCTATTTTGTTCAATCTATTTATATGCTTTGCTTGTTGCGTGCAAATTGCAGTTTGCTTTAAATGACTGCAATTTGCACTTGCCAGGTGGCGCTCCTGTCGTTTAAAGTGTACCGTTCTTTCTGTGACTACACAATAATTGTAGGTAATAAAATAAAGTGTCTGCTGTGATTTTACTTAATTTCACTTCAGTATTCTTATACTGATTTTATATTTTTGTTCGGTAGAGGTAGGTAAATATAAAAGTGACTACAATTTTTCGGTTCTCTTTCGAATCTATTCGGGTAATTCGATACCTCCCTCTCTCTCTTCTCTTATTTCTCTTATTTTTCTCTTGTTTTATCATAATGGATTATTTGATTAATTTCGAAATTAGATTTTTGATTATAATTTCTTCATTACCTACTATTATTTTCAACTTGACCATGTTCAATTGATTATTTCCGACATTTGATTGTTATGAATTGTTTGTGCTTTTAGCCAAACGCCACTTTAGCGCTTGTCTACCGAGAGAGTAGAAAACTAAATACATGGGGATGACACTGACAATTGTCAAAATTTACGTCAATCCCAAATAATTTAGTTTTCTACTCTACAAGTAGACAAGCGCTAAATGGTATTTGGCTATAGCTGCTGATTATGTATTATTTGACGTATGCCATATGTTCGTCATTTTATATTGTTTTAAGTTACAGTTGTGTTTTGTTCTCAGCTTTTTAATATAATTTAATTTTGACTTTTTAATTTTTATTGCCAGATATTTTATGATTATTTGCATTGTGTGTCCTCATGTAATTGAGGAAGCACATAGCTTTTAATTGTTTGCAATGCTACTCGTGTGTGCTAAGTGTATTCCTTTTTGGAGACTATAATTCATTAAATAAATAAATAAATACCTACATTTCCTTTGGCAAATAAATTAGACACCTATCCGTTAAGTTCAAATCAAGTATATCGGCACAAAATAAAGCTAATATTGTCCCAAACAGATTGATTAAGGTCTTCATGAAACAATTATCTAAGGGACAAAGGTCCTGATCCCAACTAACATCTTTAAATAGCTTCCAAAATTAATTTTAGCATTGCAAACCACGGTACTAAAGGGTCGGTTCATATCGTTTGATTTTAATTAACAATAGTTGATTATATTGGAATCTGAAATGGAAACATTGGTTACGTGGCTTTGACTACACTAATAATGGTCATCAGACAAGACGACTAAATTAAGTGGAAGCGTGGGCGAGTTCTTTGTCTCAAGTGGAAGGTAGGATTTTAATGGGACGTCTTCCTAATTGGCTTTTATTAAGATTTAGGAGATTTATCGGTATTTTATATTCAGAGTTTTGTCATTTTCTGTTGTATGCTATGCTAAAGACTGCCTTGTTGGACAAGTGGTCGCAAGTGCGACTGCCGGGCAAGGGGTCTCGGGTTCGATTCCCGGGTAGGGCAAAGTATTACTGGGTTTTTAAAAATTCTCAGTAGTAGCACGGAGTCTGGAAATGTGCCTGGTATATGGTAATAGGCTCACCCCCTATTACATGGGACTCATAACATAAATAGTGAAAAGTGGGTGTTATATTTTACAGTGGCATTAAGTGCCATAATGCCTACTCGTTCGGTGATAAAAAGGCGTGATGTTATGTTATGATTTGTAATATATTCTTACTTGATCAGAATCCATCTGCTTTTTCTCTAACGCGCATATTTTAGCTAGACACTGGTTAAGTCTGCTGTATCTTGAAGTCAATCCCATACTGATGAGAACTATCAGCTGATCTTGGAAATTCCACAGCATTGTAGCTATTGTACTCATAAAAGCTAGAGGTATGGCGTACCAGTCTGAGTATTCATCTGAAAAATAGTATAGCAGTGAAAATACTGAGAAAAGCTGTACTAGTTTCGAACCACAGATGGATTCTTCCTCATGAGCAGTGTTGCAGTGTAGCAGGGTTGCAGTGATGTCGTGCAGTTTATTGAGTGAGCCGCGATTTTTAGTTAATTTAGTATGTAGTTAGTAGTTATAAAAGAATAGCAATCGTAAAAAGAAATGATTAAGTGATTTACAGGTAATATGTACTACCTATCAGCAAATTTTACAAGAGTGGGTAATTATTACAAAATTTTGTTAACTAAATGCGTAAAAGATAGTGCAGTTCATAAACACAATAACTTACGCCTCAATATCATGAAACCATGAGAAATCAGAATGTATCGTTTAATAATCAAATACGACGGACAATCCAGTCCAATGGCAGATACAATGCTCAATAAATGTTCCACTGAAATCAAAACAAATATTAACAAATAAAATCAATTAGCAAGATTTATACGTAAGGATGTTTTAAATTTAGGATAGGATGGCCAAGCAGTTGCATCACCTGTTGGTAAGTAATTGGTGGTGTCCAAAGATACCAGAGGAGAAGCCCATTTTTCTAATTTAAGAATTAGAAGGTTAGTGAGGAATAGGATAAAGGAGTTTGTAAATAAAGAAGTTAATGAGGTCAAGAATATAAATATGTGCAATTATGTATTTTTTAAAATAACAAAATATCTTCTACTTCACTTCTATCCACTTTTAATTACTAGAAAGAACTTACACAACGAACAAACAGTCATAAAACCAATGATGAAATACATTCTCCTCTTCAAAGTTCCATCACTTGGAACCTTTACTGCCATTACTCGTTCCACTCTGACCCATAGCGCTGAGAGTTCTTCCCAAGACCTGAACAGCTTCGAGGCTAGGATCAAAGATATAATGGCTATGGTGTAGAAGATGGTTCCTGCTAGTCTTGCTGTTACGCTTCCTACAATACAGTATGAATATATAAAAAAAACTGCGATTGAAACTGCCACTACATTTATTTACTGAAAAAAGGAAGACACATTTTGGTCTTTTTAAGAGCTGTTATCTTTTCTTTCTTAGAAATACTTTATTGATATTTTCAAGCAATTGTGACATACTTGTTATCAGCGGAATATAAAAACAAAAGGATATCAAAAAACATCAAATTAAAATCAAATCTTCTTTTTTCTTTCATCAAATCAAATCTTCTTTTTGTCATTTCTTTGTGTTTTTTTCTATATCTGTATAAATAAGTGTATTTATTTGTTCTTTTCTTTTTTAATTTTGTATTTTTTTGTATCCGTGTGCGTGCCTACTGTCGAAGAAATGTTTTTTTCTTTCTTTCTTCTTTTTTTGTTTCTTTCTTTCATACATTAATAGCACATTTTCACATAAAAATAAAACAGAGAAGTTGGACTACTTCTTCCTTATAGTTAGAGAATGTTAATAAAATACGAAGTATGTACTCTTACTCTGTCCAGCAGTATCTATAGCCCATCCACCCAGAGCTTTGATAACCTTCCAGATGGCCTGTGACTCCATCACCAGCAACACAAACAGTATGAAAGCACTCCAAACGTAGCAGATCCATTTCTTTACCCCAAGCACACCAATGAAGCAAGAGCATCGGAATACATTTTCCATTACCATCAAAAACTCCTATATGGGAAAACCGTAGCTTTTTGTTAAAGGTGAAAAATATAAAATTCGTTATTTTTACTCCTGACTACAGTCTCTGATTGGGCAAAGTATTATTATTAGCATTTTGAAATTCTCAGTCATAAAAATCAAGTAAATATTGCGTCTCATTTTTGGCGCCATCACAATTTTCACTCCCTAATAACAATGTTTTTTATGTGATAAGGCGGTAAACGAGCAGACGGATCACCGGACTGAGGACAGAGCCGACGGATCGTAAGCCATCAGCACCGCCCATGGACACATGAAACATCAGAGGCTTTATAAGATCATTACCAGCCTTTTGGGGATTAGAGATTCTAATATATTAAAAATCTAAAATATGATTATACATTTGAGGGTCTTAGGGATTAGAAGTTTGGGTGATTAGGGAGGTAATTGGGTCTCCGCTAACCTCACTCACACGCCGAAACACAACGCAAAAGATGTTTTACATCGGTTTGCTATGAGGTCGTGGTATCACTCTGGTCGAGCTGGCCCATTCGTGCCGAAGGATGGCTCTTCCACCTACATAATTATAGCAATGTATTTTATCTTCCACTCTCTAATTTTTGTATCTCTTTAGAGCACTTGCCTGCACCAAAACCTGATAGTAAGAAGACTAATAATATTCTGAATAAAAAATATTTTAAAGCCACTTACGTCATGGTTCGGTTGCTTGGGCAAAATTAGATTGGTATTTCGTAAAAACTGTCCGTAATTTGCTTTTGACATGTTGAAAGTATAAATTACAAATCACTAAATGTACTCATATTCAATAAGTACTACCTATTTTCAATATGGCGAAGTTATCGTGTGAAAAAACATTATTTGATCGTCGATATTGTAGTTTTTTCTATTCTATTTGCGAAGAGATTATTAGTTGTCGTGACCAGTATTAGTTGAGCCCTCTTAGGGTATGAATACTTTTTGTACTAAATTGTGTAAACAAAAACTCTAAGTAGAATAACAAACTGTTTTTTGCTAGGTGAAAATAGCACTTGACGTCATGAATATTGAAACTATTTTGTGGGATAATGAAATAAATGAGCTCATAGAACATTATTTGATGTTGAAGTTGATACTTAAGTTAAGACTTATTTAATTCCTATAAATAGAACAATATTAAAAGCATGCTTAGAATGGTAATTATTTTTATTATTTCCTTTGTTACATTTTCTGTTCTTAAGATAAGGTACTTGCAACGCAATCGATTTAATACTATGAATTTTAATTTACAGCAAAGGTAGTCAGAAAAGCAATATCGTCCAATATTGGGCTGTAAAATAAAGCAGGGATCAACTTAAGCTGGTCCATAATTATTTGCAAAACAACAACACGCGATCCGATCGTCCAATTCATTGTTATCAATCATGAGAGATCGAACCAATAATAACAGTTTAATGATTCACTGAGTACACACGCTCAACAGAAAATACACTCACCAAAGTGAACAATTAAAATTGACTAAAATATTTCTCACACGAATATTTTTAACCTTAAGAGCTTACGCAACATGTTACTAATGCATGCATGCTCCTAAAAATGTAATGTTACGTTTTTTTTTTCGCCGATCGACTTCGCTTGGCAGACACACGCACCGACTTTAAACTAAATCACTATAAATGAAAGTGGTCTGAAGTAATCGTATTGGCTGCAAAATGATGGTAGTCCTGCATATTGTCGCGGAGAACTGAACGGGTTACCGGGGCTCCGGCTCGAAGCGCAGGAGAAGGAACGGGGTGGTTTTTAGTCAGTAAGAGTCTGACACTCCCTCCCGTCTCACCCAAAAGCAGTCATTCGATGATTGCCCCCCCTTAAAAAAAAACGGGCCAATTATTTGGCCGTCACGTTCACCAGGTTCAAAAGTTTTTTTTGGATATGTGTCAAAAATGAATTAGTTTGCATGGGTTTCGTAAAAAGAACTTCATTAGCAAGTCATACTATTTGCTTTATATCTTTCAGCACCGTTAGCGTATAGTAATAAAACATTAAAAAACCAATGCAATTCACTCATTTTTAGTCATAGTGATCAGGATAAGTAGTAGTACTAAAAAAATTTACTTTTCTTTAAAAAAGTATACCTTTATCAAAAGCACTACTTATAGTTTGTTTAGAATTTTTTTAGGACGGCCATATATTGTACTAGATATAACATTTCAAGGTTATTTATTAATTATCGGACACCCTGTTTAAAGATTATAATATAATTAAAAACTTTCCTTCCTAAGCCTACATAGATACTACATGGAACCTAAAGCACTTAATCTTAAGCGAACACAGGTATTTTAGCGTACAATAGAAGCACCATCGTAATAAAACCTAAGAAGCGTATATTTTTGACTGTAGTTTTAATTTTAAAAGATCATAAATCCATATAACGAGCCAACTTGTTTTCATACCTTGCTGAGTTAAAATGACTCTTATTGTTAACATTACTTTTCCTTGTTAACCGTCAGAGTTCGTAGAATAAATGTAGAAGTCATATATTTAAAGAATGATCTCATTTTCTTAAAGGATGTTTGTGTTTTTTATTCTACTTTTTATGGCTTTGGATTTTCGGGATGTAAAGAAAATGTTGTGAAAAGATTAGTATAAAATAGTGTTATGTATTTTTTCAACAGTAGACTAACTTAACTGACATAGGCCCAAACACTGATATATTTGACTGCACAGTTGGTGTGGTGGCTGGGCAACCGGCTGCCGTGCAACGTGTCGCGGGTTCGATTCCCGCACGGCACAACAATTTGTGTGGTCCACAAATTGTTGTTTCTGGTCTGGGTGTCATGTCTATGTGAACTTGTATGTTTGTAAACGCACCCACGACACAGGAGATAATGCTAGTGTGGGGCAACGTTTAAAAAAACTGTTTTACTGCAAGATACAAAGCATATGTAGTGACAATACTTATTAGATAATACATCACAAATAGAATTTACAATTATATACCTCTAGTGAAGTATAAATTGCAATGAATAATTTGATATATTGATAACGATTATGCATGAAATAAAAGGCTTTTTTTATTTATTTATTTTATTTATGTAGTGACAAAATTATACTTAAGCGCGACATAAAATTGAGTAGTCTTTCAGTATTCGGGCAATAGGTAAATGTATATATATATATATAGGTACAGCCTTCATTTCATATGTGGTAAAGCCTAAATTTGAAAGACGTCTTATTTCATCCAAGTACATTTTGAGCGATGAAACCAAATAATTACATTATATACATTAAAAGTAACTTTAAGTTCGAAACATTAGTATTTAACATTTATTTGTTTTAATTTGGAAACATTCGTAGGTAGCTATTTAACATTCAATTGTTAAAAACATACAAACAATGTCTAATACATTTTTCATAGTTAATTGAGGCAACAAAATTATTCACATTTTAATTTTATCTCTAAAGAGAATGCTTTCTTGATATATAATATTATACAAGGTGTTGTTTTAAAGCCACGTCATTTTCTAGGAGGTAACTCGGCTATAGATTCTGAGTCCGAAGGAATAAAAAATATTTTTCATTTTTCTGTAAATTACGGGAATCCGTAAGTGCGAACTACACGCTGCCGTCTTGTAACTAGCTTTATAACGCGGTTTAACACAGACAAACTCAAACACGTAATTGATATTATTCCTAATTCCATAAAACTCCAATAAGAACCATTGCTGTCGCTTATTCTGAAACACTATCGAACTTAAACGACTTATTATAGCCGTATTTTTAACTATTAGCCCGAAACTTACATTGAACCTTTATGACTTCTGTGACATGCCCCCGAGAAATATCACGGTTTCAAAACTACACCTTGTATACTCGAGTGATTCAGCACATTAATCGTCTTTCTCTTGCAATAAATGCATTAGTATCCATCATTTGCAAGGCTCCTAATTACATGCAATCTATTGCCACGTTCCACAATCCATTGCCGTATGCCAGGCACTATTAACCTAATTTTCTGATTCTCTGGACACTTAATATGGCCGACATTTCACCCGGCTGGACGTTTACGAATTAATTTGAATTAGTTTAAAAGCTTTTCGATTTGCGAGGCGATGATTTTGTTTTTGAAGTGTATGATTTTAGTTAATGTGTTTTTAATATTGAGAGGTAGGATTTTAGTTGTTGAAGATAATATTATATTAATTGACTAGCTGATCCGGAAAACTTTGTACTGTCTAAAAACTTTATCTCACCGTTTAAACCTTCTCTGGACTTCCAGCCAAATCGGTTCAGCCGTTTTCGAGTTTTAGCGAGACTAACGAACGGAAATTCATTTTTATTTATATAGTTATGTATTTGTCATTTGTTATTTGTTATTGTTTCCGATTTTTATGCAAAAGATTGATCGCTTATAAGTGATACTTTTCAAGAAAATCAACTTTAAGAATCTAAAATGCGTCCATTGCTTTGTACAATTCCCATTCTAGTTTTTATTCGCAATGAAAGATAACAACTATACAATAAATATGTTTTCTTTAACAAAAACGTCATTAATTGCACTATTTTATTTAAAGCCTATATTGCAATATTAAAGGCAATATTTAATTAAACCACTTCACACATTGTTAGAACAATTCGCCAAAATTTTTGTAACTGTTAAACAAAAAAAAAAAAAACAAACAAAAGAAGAGCACCATATTACATCACAACTCGAATCCAAAACACACACACAAGACAACAATCACAACAGTTAGAAGTGGCAATTTATTTTTATGCCTCAGTAAACACTCGTATGGTTTATCCGCCATTAAACTACCCGCAAATCAGGACCCCAGAAGGAAAATTGTGGGTTCCTGTTAGACCCTACATATTGAGTGTGAAATTGGCCCCTTTGTCACCCTTAAATGATCCCAAACTTTATATTGACACACTTTTAACTTAGTATGTTATGACATTAAAATGACTTTCACCTGAGGGCTTAGAACGAGTTTGTATTTCGTTTAAAGAAATCGAAACGAAACCGCGTCCGGCGCTCTGATTGGCCGGCTTCAATGAACCAACCAATCAGACCGCCGAATGTGGTCTCGTTTCGTAGTATTACTACTACTCTTTCTTAATCTATACGTTTAGAATAAAAAGGCTGTTTTAAAAATATCTAATTACATTTTTATGGAGTAGAAGGCGAAAGAGCAGATGGATCACCTGATGGTAAGCGATCAGCACCGCCCAAAGACACCTGGACCACCAGAGGAGTCATCACATTACGTCAGTTACGTTTTATACTAACTTTTTACCAATTACGTCATTTCTTCAATCACAGGAGTTTCATAATACTTAGTTAGAAGGTAATAGACTTATCCATGTAGATAACTAAACATATTTCACTTGGCACTTGACCAGAATGCAGAATTCGATCTCTTAGATATTTGGCAAGTTATATTAACAGCCATTCAACTAAATAGTTACTACATTAAAAATCACAAGTATTATTTTTAACTTACTATGTTGTAACTTTTGATAGTCTCTTGACAATCTGGAGATTTATAACAGATCTGCTCAAAGCGTCTTCAAAAGCGTCTCTTTTTACATCCATTACATATTCTTTATTTAGTCACACTTACCTTGATCGTCAAAGTCAAAGCATTTATTTCAATTAAAACATATTTGAAACATCTTGGTACATTTAAAACATCAACAAATACAAATTAAATAAATAGTCAGTCAGGCAGTCCATCAGTGAAGTTGAAGCTAGGTGCTCATTCCAAAATGTAGATTCGAATGAAGAAGAACGAGCAAGAAACTCC